AAGCAAATAGCCAGACACTCCAACCTTTAATTGACAGCAAAAAGGCAATATTCCTCAGAAACAAGAAAAGAACAACAAGGAACACTCTCATTGAATTAAGAGCAACTAGAAATCATTTGCCAAAGGTAGCTAGGCAGTGTGCTAACAACTACTGGATCCAGTTATGTGAAAGTTTTCAAAATGCTAGCTGTGGTGGTAATGTTAGAGGCATGTATGAGGGAATCAAGAAGGCCATCTGTCCTACAATTTAAAAAAAGACTGTCTTCCTCCTGGCTTTGGTTGTTACCTTGTTGATATGTTTTCTCCATGTCAACCTGTCATCAAATGTGACTCCGAGGTACGTGGGCTCTTTATCATCTTTTAGGGGTATTCCGTTTATTTTGATGATGCCCGCTTTTTGCTTTAGGGAAAGAGTGAAGATCTCGATCTGACGGCAGCCTTTACAACGCTCGCAGGCTGAAGGCCAAAACTAGGATAAGAAAAGAACTTATCAGAGAGCTGCTGTTTGCAGATGATGCCACAATAACCACCCATTTAGAGGAGGAGCTGCAATGTTTACTATCTGCCTTTGCTGATGCGTGCTGTGAATTTGGACTAACAGTCAGCAAAAAGAAGACAAAGGTTATAGTGCAAGGTGTCAATGACAGACCTACAGTCTACATTAACGGTGAAGACCATTTTACCTATCTGGGTTCCACAGTGAATAGTAAACTATCGCTGGACCAAGAAATCAACATCAGGATAGGTAAGGCAGCAACAACAATGAGCAGATTTACAAAGAGAGTTTGGGAGAACAGAAATCTCACAATTGAAACAAAAACCCTTGTCTATCAGGTTTGTGTTCTCAGCACTCTGCTTTATGGCAGTGAAGCTTGGTTAACCTATTTGCACCAAGAGAGACGGCTTAATAGCTTTCACATGCGATGGATAAGAAGAATACTTGGCATTAAATGGCAGGACAAAATCACAAACACTGAGGTACTGGAAAGAGCAGGTACTACAACAGTCTTTTCCATGCTCAGTCTATGAAGGCTCAGGTGGCTAGGTCACACCTGGAGAATGGAGGATGGCAGAGTCCCTAAGGCCATCCTTTATGGTGAATGAAAGACAGGAAGAAGATTTCGAGGCCGACCTCTACTACATTATAAAGATGTGTGCAAGCGGGACATGAATGATACAGGTATTGGGGCGGACTCATGGGAACTAAATGCCATGGACCGTGTTGTGTGGAAAGGGCATATCAGGAAGGGAATGAGACTGAAGGAAGAAATGGTTGCAGAAAGGATGAGAACTGAGCGTCTGAAAAGAAACGGATTAAACACAAATGTTGACAACAATGGTCCTGAAATCCCATGCTATCATTGTGGAAGACTTTTTTTGACACGGGCTGGTCTTGCTAGTCACACTCATCATCGCCATGGACTGTGAGTCTCATGCCTCCTCACAGTGCATTATAACACTATCGTCTGGAAAGACGGAAAGGTGCCAATGAATTAAAGAATCCAAAGCATTATTCACTTCCAATTTGTTAATGAACATGCATCAAAATCTTCCACTCTGAAAACAAAGATTAAGGAAAGTGTAGCTGGTGAATATGTTAACTTCCACTAACTTCTTGGAAATCAAATCTTTCTATTATCTTATTAAATCTTTGAGCGTCAGATCAGAAAAACAAAAATGTCTCAATATGGTCTCTGTGTAGGCTACATGCAAAGTTGTGCTCAATGTCTTGAAAATACTATCACTGCTGCTGCCATTATCATTTTCTGATGTTGAGACAATGCTGAAGGACAAACACATATCTCAAAAACAAATTGATTGCCTGGACTTTGATAGATGAAATCAGCAGTGACTTGTCTAATTATATCAGTCTGGCATTCACAACTTTTTTGTTTCACTGCACTGACAAGCTAGCACTAACAATTTGTTTCATTCAGCTGTTTAAAAAATCACAATAATTACAACCATTTGTGAACACTACAATGTTACCTGAACAATCTGCACACTGTTGTTAGTTGGTTTTCTCTCCTCAACACTTCTGGCTAATGGTCTCCTTCCACCTGCACCTCCGCTACGCCCCTGGTTTGGTCCAGATGACTGATTTGGTTGTTGCTGCCTATGATGACGCCGCTGAAGTGTACGGGGAAGTGTTAGCTGCCTATGTTTCGGTTTACGAGGGTTTGAACTTGGAGTGTGAACAGCACATATTTTGATGAAAGCTCCCATAACTACTACAAGACCAATACCCATGAGTAGAACAGCCCACCAGTGTTTCTGTCAAGACAAAAAAAGGTTTTATTTTATGTAACACTAGCTCAAGTGGGGCGAAGGAAATACAGATGAAGTACAGATCCTGCATTTAGAAGTTAACCCAGTAAATTGTTGTATAAATTATTATACTAAATTCACAGGTGCCCCATTAGCGCAGTCGATAAGTCGCTTTCAAATCCAGCTGCGACTCGCTGCACCCACAGTTGGTGTTCAAAACCGGGCGGCTCCTGGAGTTCACCCAGCCTCTAGGGAATGGGTACCAGAGTTGACACTCTGGGGTAAATGGAGGAACGGCGCTGTAGCTACAGAGTTACGTGCAAACGGCGACACAGACGGACAGTTCTTATCAGCTGTCCGTACTGGTGGCAGAGCACTTATGGTTTATAACCCTGTGCAATGACGCTGGTTCCCATCTCCCCACTTTACCTTTACACTAAATTCAATTTACCCTTTCGCCACGTAAGAACCTTAAAAAAAAAAGACCCTTTTCAGATATAGTTAATAAATGCATCCTTATCATTCTCTGAAACATTATCCTAAGAAATTAGAGGAAAAGAGAAGAGTAAGAAAGTAAAGTAAAGGACCCTCTTCCACGCCTTTAGGCGTATAGGGCATATAGGGCTAGACCTATTTTTATAGACCAACGGCACAAGATGGGGTCAGCATCACGCCAGCCGAAAGAGAAAAGGAAGCAGGGGAAATTAGGATCTTGGTCATTTTTATAAAATTTCAATAGGCTAAAACCTATAACCACTGCTAGCTATTGTGTCAGCACAGGTCTTGAATCACTAAAACAATTCCATATTTTAAAAAATTATGTTATGAGTAAAATAGATTTGTAAAGTAAAGGAATTAAAAGCAAAATACAAACGGGAAAAAAGAATTCACTGCTTTCCCTTCCTTGGCCCAAGAAAACAGAGGCTGTGTTGAGACAGGGACCAGAAGCAAAGTGACCTCTTTAAAGTTTTTAATTGGGTTGGTAGAAAAAGTCATCTACTTTCATTCACTTTTTTCAAGGTAACTAAAGCGTTGTTCAAGGGTGTACCAAGCACATGCGCTACTTTATTTGTGTGCACACATGGCTATAGGCCAACAGATATTGTGTTTTTAAATTTGTTGGGGGGGACCTGAAGAGATATCATTATTAACATTAGCAAAACTGAATACTCTGTAGTTTCCAATAAAAATGAAATTTGTTTTATATAGTATAAAAATAAATAATTATCGATAATAATAAATAAATAATAATCCAACAAGTTAGTCATTTTCTATATGTGGTCTACATCGTGATCTTTAATGGAAGATATCATAGGCAAGAACATGACAAGAACTGATGAAAATGGAGTATATGGTTCACATAGAAACAAATGCTGATATACTGAGAGCTTCACTCAGAGGAAAGGCAAGACAGACATATAACCAGATTGTGACTGGTACCATCAGTAGAGGCACTGGCTGCTGAAGATGAGGACGGAGTACACAAGGGAATGCCCCGAGTGCTGTGATGTCAATTCTTGACTTAACTCAACTAAGAGCTGTACTTGACAAAAATCACTAGAAAAAGACAATTGTAACTCATGGAACAGTGCAATAAGCAGTCATTCAAAATAAACCCACACAAAAAATGGAAAACACTAGGTAAGACCTGGAGAGAAAGTCAGAAAAAGATGTACACCGAAAGCTCAAACATGTGGACAAAAATCAACTTCATCAAACTATCAGATAGGAGAGCCTTAATAGTCCTGTCTGCTCTAGATCTTGTACCCAAAAAAAGGAGCGGGAGGGGAGACAGAGGGTCATACATACACAGAGGGGAGGAGGGAGATGGATACTGAGGAAAAATGGGAGAGTGAAAAATAGTGAGGAAAAAAAAAAAACAGAAAGCAGGAGACAGAGGGACAGACAGGTAGTAAATCCCACCATGTTTAGACACTATGCAGTTGCAACCACCAGTACCAAAGCTACTGTACAGAGATAGTGGCCACTGCCCAAAGACTTCACACACGTCATTTTTTCAAAAACCACACATGCAAAAAAAAAAAGCTGTTTTCTCTGTGTGACAGGGTTAATAAATAACAATTAATAATGAGCTAAAAACAAAACACTCAAAATAAGACCTACCACAATCCACTGCTGAATATTTTCCAAAGTCTCTGGGTTAAAAATCAGATTTTTTAATCTAGCCAATGGCCCATCTGCATCCACACCTCGGCACTTGTGAAAAACGTCACAGTAACCTCTGAAGTTATCACATGGGGACCCTAGACAAGTAGTTGCAACAAAGAGAAAATATTACAATTACAAAATAGGTACACCCAGCTCTCTGTCAACCCTGGCCACTGACATGAAGGACAAACAGACGACAGACAGCAGAGATGGATTTCTGGTTTTTTTAACAACTGTTTGAGGCATTGCTGTTACTGAATTGTGCTGCCTAAAAGGCGAGTTGTAATTTTTATAACTGACATAACAAATTAAACGGGGTATGGATATGCAAACAGTTTGGATGACTGACAAATTTGTGTCATTATAAGACAAACATTTAGTCTCCCATATTTATTACCATGTGGTCAAAGCATCCAGATATTCAAGTCTTTGTTTGTGTTCCCCCTTGCTTTGCTTGTGTTTCCTTTTGTTTTGTCTGTGTTCCCTCTTGCTTTGTCTGTGTTCGCTCTTGCTTCTGTTGTATTCCCCTTGCTTTGTTTGTGCTCCCTCTTACTTTGTGTTCCCCCTAACATTGTGTTCCCTCTTGCTTTGTTTGTGTTCCCTCTTGCTTTGTTTTATGTTCTCCCTTGCTTTGTTTATGTTCCCCTTTTCTTTGTTTATGTTCCCCTCGCTTCGTTTGTGTTCCCCCTTGCATTTTTCTCCACAAAGTATGCCAGATTATTTTTCTTCTTATAAAATGTCCAACAAATCTAGACTGAATCTGAATTTCTTATCAGTTTACTGTTTTATTTATTTTCCTATCAGCCCATGATATTCTTTTCAAAATTTTCTTAAGAAAAAAAACAACACTAATCAAATTCCACCAAAACATGCGCATAAGACTTACAAAACCTCTCATGTTAGCTCATCTAATTTCTTTTTAAGAATTAACATCAAATCTGACTAACCTCAACTAAATACAGTTCTTTCCCCATGGCAAGGCTCAGTTTCACTGAGAATATGTTGCCAGATCATCAACAAACAGCATGAACCTTTCGTTCAAGTTTCATAATGCTGGTAAACACAGTAATACAGGGCAAAATATAGAATGGGATAAAACAGAAAACAATAAACAATAAACCAACTCACCAGCAGGCAATTGGATTCCTTCTGCAACAACTGCCATCTTGCCAGCACGCTTTCTTGTGACGTTAAACAGAAGATTACGAAACTCAGTATTCTCCGGTCTGTTGATGGCACTTTGGTCATAGGAACTGACACAACTACCAGTCTGTGGGTTAGCTATACAAGACCCAACAAATAGTTAATTTGGGCTGTGGATTAGCTATCCACATGCAATTTTTTAAAAATGCATGGTTTTAAACAACCATTTCAATCGATCAATCCCCAAAGTGCCCAGAGGCACATAATGTAGAGACAAACTGTTGCCACTCAATTCAATCCTGAGCCATCCTCTCTCCAGTTTTTTCCTTTGCATGGCCTTGAGTTCAGCCTCAAAGGTTCGCCTCCAAGTGCCTCTGGGCCCGCCTCTTTCTCGCTGTCCTTGTGGGTCCATTGCACTGACTGTCTTGGCAGTCTCTCTTTCTTCATTTTCAGGTCATGTCTAATCCACCTCTATCTTCGTTTTTTGATTTCTGAATTTACATCTTTTAAGTCTGTTATTTATTGTAATCTAGAATTGCTGATTTTATCTTCCTATGTGAACCCCAACACTCTTCTGAGAAGTCTTCCCTTGAACAACCATTTAATGTCTGCTAAATATCACAGTGAAGCTGAGATAGATTAATCAGCTGACAGTAAATGAAACCTGTTTATAGAATTAAATGGCAGATAAACTAGGCTGACACTAAAGGGAAATGATCTTGGAACACAGGAAATTGTTATGTGACACAGGAATAATCAACAATGATAGAGACACTAACAAACAAGAGGAAACAGTAGATGAGATCAGCAAACTATATATGATGGTGCTCTCAAAAACATACAAGAAGGATGCCAAAAGATATACAACAGCAAATCAAACATTTTGGATTTAAGTAACAAAACTGAAAAAGTAAAACAGTAAAATTTAGCACTGAACTAGAAGCAGCAAGTGCATCAGAAAAAAGAAAAAATACGTAGGCAGAAGGAGAAAGACAAAAACATAAAATAGTGACAGGAATAAACAAAGAACAAAATGAAACTGCAGGTAACACTGGAAGTAATATAAATAAATTAACTGAAAATACCAAAATTAAAATATCAAAACCCTTTGGGAACAAGCATTGAAATCAGTAGAGAAAGAAGATTATTATGACCTGGAGAGAACGAGGCACCTGGGTGTAACCAGAGAGTCTGGCCAGCTCACTAGACTCAGAGGAAAGGCAAGACGGCTATATAACCAGATTAAGACCGGTACCATCAGTATTGGAACTCTGCGCTGGCTGCTGAAGATGGGGAATGCCCCGAGTGCTGTGATGTCAATTCTTGACTCAACTCATCCAAAATTAAAAAATGGACAGAATGAGAAAAGATTATTACTGAGATTTTATCAAAAGTCCCAAAAACCAGAAGAGGGGAGCAAATATAAAGCATACATGAAAAGCTGAAAAAGTAAGTGATCCCAGCCATGCTTATTCTGAAAAGATGGCAAGAATATTGCGGCCAGCTCCTCAATACCAAACCCAGACAAAACAAAGGCCAGAAATGCTACCAATAGAAATATGACTAAGTTATAGCCAGGAAATGTTAGAAACAGAAATTACAGAGGGGAAATATGCTAGACTGAACACATTTCCTAAACTTAATTATATTTGCGCTGAACTAATTAAGGCTGTGCATTCCTTAATTTTCATTTGTTTTTCAATTTCCAATGGAGCATAGTCCTCAACCAACTTTATACTTAGCCTTTTGCAGAAGTAGATATATGAGGTAAAGATTCCTATGGAATGAGGTTGCCAGTCTTATGCTGACATGCAGTACAGTGTCACTAGGCTTTATTACCCTTATAGGCCACATTAACAGTGGGCACAATGTATACAACTGTTAAATTATGATAGCAGTCGACAATTTGAAAATAGGAGCAGAAGAACACAATAGTAACATCAATGTCATGAAAGCAGAAATTATGACTCTCACAAGCAGGGCACACTAACATTCTCAAAGAAATCTAACAACTAAAACAAAACACATCAAATACTTGAGGAGAATAATATCATCAGATGCAAGAAGAAAAGAAAAGAAAACAAATTAAATAGAAATGCAACAAAGCAAAGTTGACAGATATTACCATTATTAGGAACGTCAAATTATCACACAAAAGCACTGCTGAACATGGTATCAACATGTCCTATCAACATTTAGCTATCAGTTTTTGAGACAAGATCAGAAATGAGCAAGAATGGTGTTAAGACTACATATAAAACCAGCAAGCAGGATGGAATGAGTACAACCCTTAAGTCTCATCTGATTACTTCTGGGACATAGCCTAGAAATGTGCTGTATACTTAGAAGGCACCAAATCTTTTGTAATATAAAATGTAATAACACTGCTTAAAAAAAATTTCAAAAAACTGCACTCAGATAAGCATTCTTTGAAAGCTAAAATGTTTAAAGATAATAATGATCTCTAATGTATTTAGAAATATTCAGTTATGTTAAATTAGTGAAAATAAAATATGCTAAACAGCTATGAGCTTAATACCATTATTTAAAAAAAAAAAAAAACATTGATTTTCTTGATGGCTAAATTACCCAATGTGTTTTGTTTTATTACAAGGTGAAAATGTTCACATAAACAGCTACTACACTGCACTACACTACTAGAACAGGCTGCAGGTACACATAGCAACAGAATGTACAAGAATATTTCACAATCATAATCCTTCTTTAAGTATTGCACAAACTGAAATGCATAATTAAAAAAGGTTGGTAAACATGAGTCAGCAGTGTACACAGGTCAAACACTGAAGAAAAAACAATAACTCCAGCACCAAACAGAATAAATAAGTCTAACATCAAATTAAAACAGCTGTATGGAGTATAAATCCCACACATTTAATAACAAGTGCTTTCAGAGAAGAGAGGGAATCAAATGATATGGAAAAAAATTCCTAATGTAGATCTGGGAGAGGACTTAAATTCTTGAGAATCAAAAGATGAAGAAAAGACACAGGTGTTGAAGAGGACACATTTTGAAAAACCACTGATAGAATAAATGAATCAAGAATTGACACTACTGCAATCAGGACATTCTCACACATGCTCCAACCCCTTCTTCAGTAACTAAGAAGGAGCTGACATGCTAACAGCACCAGTTGCAACCTGATTAAAAGTCCACCTTTATTTCCCCTTCAGTGTTGAATACCTTCCAAAACCCATGCCCCCCCCCCCCCCCACTGGTCAATTAGTCTCCAGTGTGTGGAGTCTCTATCTGCACTGTCCATTTGATCCCATAGAGCCTTCAACACATCCACTTTATCATATAGTAGCACACTGCCCAGAGGGACAGCAGCAGCTAATCCATCAGCCTGCTCCTTACCTCGGACACCTGACTATCCTGGACAGAAAATCCATGATTTGCGCTTTATTTGGGTCTTATCAAGAGATGCTGTCGTGAGGTGAGCAGCCACCCTACACTATGGATGAGTCGGAAATCTGAAGTCCCCTACGCGGAAAATAAAATTTCAAACTTGAACCCGTCCAGAAGGGTATATAGTCCCTTATATTGATCTATACCTTTATCTGGTAAAATATTCATTTCTAGACCTTCTAGTTGCTTTGATAAATCTTCTTTTTCAAACTTGCAACTATAGGTTGGCGAATTCTGGTATTTTATTTAGAAATTCCTGTAAACCGGTTTACTCCTTAGGCAGGAATACAAGAGAACTTCTTTCTTAGAGACGCTAGTTTGATTTTGAAAAAACATTCTGCCGCCTGATCCCAGAGTGTCAAGACGTGAATACAGTCGAAGTAGAAATTTGGTGCATTCAAAGTTCCATTTCTATCTTGGAAGATTTCCTAAGCTTGGGATGATGCCTCTTTAGAGATCAGGCAGACGAATCACAGTCCAGCCAACAACCGCCAACCTATACCATTCTATGCACCTGGCATAACCAGAAGTCCTGCCCTTTTTGCCACTACCTCAACATGGCAAGAGCGTGTTTGTGAGCTCCAGGACGAGTAGACATTTGCAGACATCTGTGTCATCAATCTAGAGAACCAGTCTTCAGGAGCTTGGTTGGGCTCTGAGGCAGTTTTGTGACCTGACCTGTGAGAGAGACTTGTTGAGTCCCTATGCAGTTCCTGTGTCCTCGATGGTGAGGTAATCAACTGCTACCAGATCAACTAGAGGCATAGATACCTGAGTCAACTACAGTCGAATCACCATGGACTGAGGGGAGCATTGACCTACGAACTAGGCTAAGTGATCACTTATTCATTATCATGCTCTCTTCCCACAGCTCCTTGAGATTCCTAGGATGAACTCATGTACTCGCCTGACCCAAGATCTGGCTGCTTCAATATCTGGGGTGTGTCACTGATCCCCAGTTTCAGTCAGTGAACATTCTTGAGAATCTATTCATTAATACATATATTGTACTTATTACATGCAAACATTTTCATGGTTGACTTGGGTGTCCCTATTTCACCATTCTAACTGTCTAGCTTTGATGATTGTGTGAGTAATAAGTGTTATATGTGTTAACATGGTTATGATAGTAGACTATCATAACCTGGGGGCTATCTTTTTATAGTAGTAGGAATGTCCAGCCAAGTGTGCCTAGGAATATTATATATTTTGTAGTGCCAAAACTTGAGTTGCCCTACCCCAGAAATAAGTTGAGCGCATATTGGCCACGGGGCATCCCTTAGACCAATACGAGCCAACGACTCAACATAATTATTTCAGAGTGCTGTTGGTTCTTAAGTAGAAATCCTTAAATCAGGCATGTGACAGGAGCGATATGTGACAGATGCAAACCACTCTGCATGCAGGACACCAGTTTTAATTTTCTGAAACATGCTCTGTGACTGTTATAATTACAACATGCTGCCCTCAACCATCATAGAGCTGCAGTTACTACCTCAACCTCTATTCTCATACTGAATGTAGTGACGGTGTACTGAGGCTCTCTGTTTTCAAGCACTGTCCATTTAACTTTGCAATAAAAAACCCACCTCCTTTTCTTACCTCTCACTACTGACCCATCTGTGTATATATTATGATGTCTCCTGGGTGTGAATTTTTAATTGATCAGCTCTTGCACCACTGATTCGGTTTCACCAACTATCCATTCCTGACACCCTTGATGCAAGGTAACTATCACTCTGTGCACATATGTTTTGCTGAGTGGCACTGTAGTTCATTCTTCACCCTGTGCTATCTTCTCAGTAGCGCACACAGTTCTGATAATGACTTCTGCTGTATAATTTCTAGATATTTTAGTGAATTATCTCTCTTTATATTACTACTTTTTCTTGTGATGTCAGGCAACACATCTTTAACAATTTTATAGGACTACTGCAATCCACTCGACAATGCAGGGACTGACCTCCATATCCGTAAGAGAGAGAGAGAGGGAGGGAGGGAGAGAGAGAGAGAGAGAGAGAGAGAGAGAGAGAGAGAGAGAGGGGGGGGGGGGGGGTTATACTCACTACAAGAAACATAGCATAGAGCCTCATAGCTAGGATCATCATCTCCATGTTCAGACGTCAGGAAACATTCAGCCCAGCCAATACGTCCACATACAGAGTTCACACAGTCCTAGAAACAGCATTTGCCAAAAATGTCATAGGAGCAACTGTTTTACTTATACCAATAGTCATTAACACTGAATTAGAAATTAATATTTTCACATGGTTGCACCCTTCATAATTTTAGACTACAAATCAAAGAGGGTAGCATGGTAATAGACTGTCACTTCTGTTTACTCAACTGTAGCTATCATATCCCCTAAAATCTCAGAAATATTATCATTAATTCTCAGTCATCAAAGAGTTCACCACAAAAGGATCAGGAGATGAGGATGCCAAAGAACGAATGTGACTGTCAGAGCCAAAGGTGCTAGTCTGGATTCCATCCATGATATCGGCAGGACACAACGGCATGAAGGACTAGACTGTCAGCCTTATGTGATGTATTCAGGCCCAACAGAAAAATGATAAGGAGTTCATTTAAGATATAGTAAGTCAGGTGTTTGTCCTTGCATTTCTAGCAACAGAATGATAACACTGTATAAAGTTACCTTTCTCCCTAGAGTGGTCATAGTGGACTAGTGTCTGAGTAATCAGTGCGCAGCAGTTTCACTATATTACTTGCAGATATTAACTATCAGTTCCCAATAACAATATTCAATGCTGGATTGAAACCCTCCTTGGATAATCAGTCACAACCTAGAGGGTCTGGTCCTAGCTAAGTTGATCACTACCGGTGGGCTGAAATGTCAAGAGGTCATCTGAAAGATAAGTGGCACATCTGGACCAGTTTAGCCACTAACTGTAACTCATCACAATGATGACATCAGTTCTTCTAACAGTCTGAAATATTTTATGCTTGATTATTATGTCGGCACCTGTGGCTACGGCGTTGCAAACGAGCCTCGTAATGCCGGGGTGCCAGGTTCGCTACCAGCTGCCGGCCTTGTGCTGGTTTCGACAGTGGTATCGAGAAGCTAAGGTTAAAAAAGCAATGGCAAACTACTGGACATAAATGTGCCTAGATAAACGACAACAGCCGAAAAATGCTGGCATTGGTTCTGTAAAGAATACACAACTAACTTTAAAAAAATTATTATGAGAGTTCCTTGTGCGGGTTCAGGGGACCTATTCTGGAGCGGGGGTGGGGGTGGGATACACCCCCTGCATCCCTTATAAGCATGCCATTAATTAGGGGAGTTTCTTTCAAAGTTGAAGTGCATCTGCCTGAGAGGTTAGGAAGCAACAGTCTGCATCAAATAAGCCAGATCAATAACACGGATGTGCACACAAAACTCAAGTTCTGGAACAAGACCAAAGTCCAGAAGTGGATGAACAACCACAGCTTTCTGTAGGTCAGCACTAGGAAGAAGATTATGAGAGTACTTGTGACTATACTTACCCCATTATAACACATCTGTGCATCATCATTGCAAGATGTCCCATTGGGTTCGAATTTAGGAGCAGGGCATTCAGCAAAGGAACCAGTGAATTGTAGTTAAGGGCAATACATTGGAAGGTAAATCAAGGAAGAGATGTTTATAAAGATTTCCACAATACTGACACGCGGATATCACAAACGATGTACTGTCAAATTATATTTTCAGTAGATTTTCTGACTTGTCACCGAAGATCTTCATACCATGAACAATGTTTTCTTCTTCTTTTTATCATCGGGAGATGACTGATAAAATGGTGCTGTTCTATGAGAAAACAGGGTGAAAACTGTGAAAAACATGGTGAAAAGGTCATTTCAGATTTGTGAAATTATGAACAGTGTGGTTGACTTGAGATGGTCACGTATGTGCATTTATTTTCCTGTGTTATCTACCCTCATGACACATCTATAGGTGCTCAGACTCCTTGTTCAACATACACATATCAGCATCACATGGCCAACAGTGCCAGTTCAATGCTGTATGACAAGGCCTCTAATATGTCCGATGGGCCTATAGTACCTGGCTATACCAATCTTAATTCCCAAATCTCTCATTAGAAGAAATGTGGATGCACTGCCTCTAAAATTCTCCAATCACCATGTGAGACCAGGTGGTGGCCAGAGTTTTGCTCTTAATTCTTAGATGAACATCACATTAAATCACTCAGTGTATTTCCTTGTCATCCTTTCACTTCAATTCTGTAGGCATCTAATTCACCAAAACTCTTTTCATAGCATCTTTAGAAATGTAGATGATGTGCACTCAGCTTCCAACAGAAGTGGTACTTGGAACATAAATGCAACATTTGATGGAGGCATACAACACTTTGAGATCATATACAATAACTGGTGCACAAATACTGAAATTGTTATCTACCTCACTGACCATACAAAGCTGCATAAGAAGAATTTAAAACTAGTTTAGATTTATAAAATACATCAGAAAAAAAACAAGTCCTGGAAATCTTCTTCTTCTTAGCCCTCACTGACTGTAATGAATAAATGACTAAATGAATGAAGAATTGACCTTACTGCACTTTGGACACTCCGGCATGTGCTCCTTCCCCTTCTTCAGCAGCCAACAAAGGGTCCATTTGCTAACAGTAGCAGCCTGGAGAGAATGAGGTACCTGTGTGTAACCAGAGGGTCTGGCCGGCTCACTACACTCAGAGGAAAGGCAAGATGGACTTTTAACCAGATTGTGGCTGGTACTATAAGTACTGGAACTCTGCGCTGGCTGCTGAAGATGGGGACGGAGCATGCAAGGGAATGCTCCGAGTGCTGTTATATCAATTCTTTACTCAACTCAACAGTAGCAGCTGCAACCTGATTAAAAGTCTGGCTATCAGCCCATTCAGCAATGAATATCTTCCAGAATCTCTCTGGCTGTAAACTCAAGTCGAAATCCTGGTTGTTTGTCCATTTATGGACTTTGCTCTTATTCTAGAATTTGAATTTGCATACACACCAATGTTACAGACTTGGCTCATTTGTGTGCGGGCTGTTGGTTCCTTGCCTTTTGGGCAGATGCACTCCTACTTCAAAAGAAAGTGCAGGAAACAAAACTAAAGTACAGATGACAAAAAAGATGGGTCTGTTTTAAAATTATGAGAGGAGGCAAGTATGCAGATGAAGATAGCTGTGACCACTGTGACTTTGATGTGCTGGTAGGTACTCATGGAGCCAGAGCAATCATTATGTTTGCAGATAGTTGTCAACGATTACAATTTATAAACTGTCGCAATCATTACAAAATGTGGATATTTTTGTACATTGTAATCCTTGCATACAGAATGTTTTACAGGTGAGGTTCACAAGACCAGATGACTCATTTGGAAAATGACAATTGCAGAGCTTTGAAAAAAAAACCTAATATAGTGGCTTTAATCAGATTATTTAATAACAGTAAAAGAGTTACAGAGCACATTATGCACTGGCTGTGATTAACTCGGGAGAACCAAAAACATACATCATGTCGCTTATGACCGAAATAATTTGTTATGGTTACTGAGACATTTCAATACAAGCTGTTGGACAGAGACAAACACAGAGATGTCTGTTAGTTAGCTGCAGTTACAGAAAATGTCCAGATTTCTCTGTATGTACAAGGATATTTGCAGTATGATGCCTGCTTGCAGTCATCTGCTGGCAGACACTGAGTCTGTGAACTGGGTGAGACAAACTCGCAGTCTGAGGTGCAACAGGGTCCTGCAGTAGGGCTGAAATATAACAGTTACAAACATGTTACAACCCAAGTAAGCACTGAGGTATTTCTGGCTGTATTTCAACCCTCCGCTCCTTCCCTTCCATCTTAGTTAGATTCTTTAGTGCTTGAAGCAGGCATGTTTAATATTTATTTATCATCATATAATGAAACTCTGACTGTGCCACTGTGTCATCAACATACATAAATGGCCGCCAAAGACATGTAGCACCCCCTAACAAAGAAATAACAAGTGCATCACAGAATCCATCTGACACGCTTATATGTTAGTACATTTTGTTCAATTATTTCAATATCACAATAAAATCAGAATCGATGACTGACTTTTGTTCTCCATATGCTTAGCTAAATAAATACACTGCGGGGACCATAATATTATATGTGTATGGAGAGATATCCGTTGTCCATCTAAGAGGTGAGAATAACTGAAAAAAACTTTTTTACTAGCTTGTAGACAATGTCATTCATTACCAAAAAAGGTGGGGGGAGGGTGGGGGTGTGTGCATTTATGTGTGCGTAAATGTGGAAAGTTTAAACTTCCAGGACTGATGAAAAAATTATCTACAAATAATTCCAATGTCATATGCTATCGCGAGGCAATGCAATGACAGGAAAACAGAGCTGAGGTTTATTGCAATGGACGATGACAAATTAAAATGTTTTTTAAAGTTGCAGACAATGTCAGTGCCTATAAAATCAGATACAGCATTCATTATAACGAGTGTTTAGAAAGTTTCAATTAGCTGACTGAGAGAGAGAGAAAAAAGGTGTCTTTAACTTATTCTTAAATCATAGGGTGCCCTGCAAGCGCACTAGAATGCTTAATATGAATGGTGGTAAACGAGGCTAGCAGTTGTCATAAACTACCGCGGTTTAATACACTTTCATAAATTATGCATCCCAGACAATGAAATTCGTGCACAGTTTATTTCACCATTTATTTGGTATGTTTTAACTAGCTGAGTTGTTGAAAAATGGTCTGTTAACTCAATTCTCAAATCAAATGGTGATGAGCGGCGGCGATGGCTAATCCTATTAAAGGAAAACATTATCGCGACCATAGCAGTTTAATACATTTTTATATATTATGTGGAAACTGCATTAGCAAAGCGCTGCTGGGACCAAAACTAACTTCGAAACTTAACATTCTGCCAAGCAGTTCCTCCATTTTTGCCAGAAAGAGTTCTATTTTCCTGGTGTAAAATGTTTCTTCATGTAGTCTCCGACCCAGAGTTTTCTAAGTAACAGGTGGGTACTATTTATAAGATGTATGAGAGTTTAAAGAGAGGGAGCTGAGTGGTCTTGAGGTATAGCATCCGCCTTGACTCTGGAGGTCCTGGGTTCAAACCCTGATGACAGCTGGGATTTTCTCAAGTGGACTTCTAGTACTTTGCTCTGTTCTCCGGGTAGTAAGACCGAACGCCTGTGTGTATTGCGAACATAAAAAAAAAAATACCTCGGCAGCTGGAAACTGAAAAAGAGTTGCCTACCGACGCTTTCCGGGCAAATTTTGAGTTAAAATCTACCTAAAGTATTTCGGGATCCTGGCTGGTGCAACAGAGTTTGTGCACTGCGCTGAGATTCATCTGACTCAGGCTCGAGAGAAGTAGACCGGAGCTTTTGTGGGTTACAAAAGTGTGCCATGAGTTTGATCCGTTGATTAAACATAAACATAAAACATAAACTATTTCTAACAGCCATTTCACCTACTCAACACAGATAATTAAAAGATAACACAAGCCATAATAACAATGTTTTCTATTTTTTGTTAGATCCACAATTGAGTTAAGAAGGTAACTTATTCAAGTTATAATATGACTACTGATCTTCTTTCAGATGTAAGTCTGTATATGATTTCTGTAGTTAGCCAAGCTTTTTTTTTCAGCACAAAAACATTCTACCTACAGAGCACAAAAACACCTTCATTGGATAAATTAAGTTTAAATATAAAATTTAGACCTTTGAGTATTTTCTATTACTGTTTTAATCTTTTTTTTAAAGATCTATTTGAACAGTAACTTGCACTTTTCAAGAAAATAATCATAAAAATTAGCAAAGCTTTGAAATTCTTCACTTGGGTATCCTACCTGCATTTGAAGGTTGGCTTCAGAGTGCACTGTGGTCCTTCTATGCTGTCTCTTCCATAGCAACAACGGTCCTCACAATCTTGAGCATAGCCACAATCACATTCCTCACCATCCTCTTTGATCCCATTGCCACAAAAAGCAGTCTTGGAGGCTGGCAACATAAATGACATACACAACAGGGTCAACAATTGACACAAGCCAGGCAGACGACATACATACAGGCAGGCAAACAGCAGTTACACATATTCGTCAGATAACCTATGGCAAGAAAATATATAAATTTTCTTGAATTAATGTAACAGATAACTTTATTCTGTCTTCTGGCTAAATTCAAAAGACCAGTCTTGCACAAGATATTCAAGATGGAGGACTCACACAATAATGAAAAATGCTTCAGAAATGCTCTCTGTATGTATAGAGAGGTGACAGGCCTGATCGGTTGTTATTCCAGTGGAAATCAAGCTTTATGGATTAGTGGAAGGCATGTGTAGCACCACAAACTTCATAGATGCCTGTGCTCTCTCATATGAAAACCAGTGGCAGGGAGAATAGACCAATCTGAATGTAGAAATAAAACTCTGTGGCACGAAAAGACTAACTAAGTAAAGTACTTAATTCATAATCCACATCATAGCATACCCAGCATGCTTCACCTCCTGCAGCAAACGGCTTAAGAAGTTAACTATGGTAAACAATTTGGGTAAGGCATGTACAGCCTAGGCAACTGTCGTGAGACGCTGCGTCAAGTAGACAAGATACCTCAAACTGACATACCACCCCTTTTTGACCCTTGTATTTTTCCCTCTTGGCTAGGTCAAGAGTGACGTCATTGTCGTCAGAGATGACATAAAGGGAAATCCCTACTATATGCAGGTGCTGTTTCGGATAATCCCAGTTTTGTTAGTTTGCAATTCTACGGCACAGCACAGCCCAGCACTTTCACATAAAGAATTTTCTGCTAGCAAATTTGGCAATATTGCTGCAAAAACCTAGCCAAAAAACAGAATCCCGCTGGTAGACTGGACTGACGATTATTGACTTTCGGCTGCTAGTGGTAGAGAGATGAGAGGCAGTTTTGAAAAGACAACTCAAACTCTTGTCTTTCACACAGCCTATAGCCCTAGAACTATGGCAGAATTCATCAAATAGTCATATAGCTACATCAAGGTGAGCACAATAATTATTGCAGACATATAAATTCCTTTTCATGGCCATATTTCAGAAACAATATAAGAATTGTACCAGACAGAGGAAAGGCCACGCTGATTTATTTCTGCTGCTGATACCTGGGTCAGGAACTAGATGTCACTCCTATCTTTCTGTATCTAGGATGCTATTCCTTGTTACTGTATTTAGGAGATTCTCCATATTCTATTACTGGTTCATAAACAATATGGCATATGGATTTAATCTAGACATAGGAATCGTCACCATAGCTACGGAGCTCACGTGCTCTGCGCTCGACACCTTTTTTCAGCAGCTAGTGAAGAGAGAGAGAGATGAGGAGACGACAAGGGAATGGGGAGAGAAGAAGGGATAGAAAAAGGAGGGCAGGTGCTAGGAGAACAAGATGAAAAGCGGAGAGATTAGTTTTCAATCATGTAAGAGTAGGATACTGGAACTGTCAGAGTGCTAGGCAGAGAGGTCCTGTACTGGAGAGGATGATTTTTATTTTATTTTGATGTCATCATGCTCCAAGAGCTAAAGACAGACAGATATTGCCCTGGGTACGTCAGTTATATAAATCCTATTGAACAGGGGAGACATGGACAAGGTCTTGTGAAGCATGTGGTACTTGACTTGAGCCAGTAGAACCACAGTGGAAAAGAGGTTCAAGGGATACAGGGGGAAACTGGTGGCCTAAGTTGGAACCTCATAAATATATATGCCACTGTAGACTGTTTTGTCAGAAGGCAACAATAGGGCTGGCTCAAGGAACTGGAGGAGTTACCAAGTGATAGTCTGCCCTTGCAGAGGCCATGGTTGACTCTGATATGGTCTGCATCAATGACAGAAGGCTGATTAGAATGGCAATGAGGTCTCGAGATGCAGACACAGCCACTGACCCGACATCTGTCTCCAAGTCGTCCATGGGAGTGATCACCTACCATGTTAAGTCCTGATGTAAGGTTAGTGATCACCAACCTTGTTAAGTCCTGATTTTTCTAAACTCAGTAAAACAGGCGTGGAACGTTAAGGTTGGCAGCTAAAGAAAGAACACTCAAGACCTTCCGGTATAGGTTTTCAAGCTCTGTGCTGCAGGCGACAAAACACTGGGGAAATTCTGTAAACTGCAAAAGCAGATGCAAAGAAAAGATCAGGCTTTGACAGTGGTAACAATTTGTAGAGACGATGGTGTGCGCATGACAACAGACAAGGAGTAAGGGGAGGCTTTTCTCCATAGGTTTATAGCTCAGGCAGATCATAATGATGTAGACATCAGGTGCAGTCAGAAAGGAGTTAGCTGGCACCATAAAGAATATGCATTATGAAGACATCATACAAGAAGATATTAAATAAATTTTGAAAAAGGCAAAAGACACTGCACCAGGTCCTTATGAAGGTTTTGAGCGATGTAGACCTGGCAGAGATGACTGACTGCTTAAACCAGAGCATTAGGACAGCATCAGTACTGCAGGGTTGGGTGCACAGCTACCTAATCCCGCTCAGTGGCTTTAGAATCATCACCTTAAAAACACATTTGGGAAGGTCTTGGAGAAGATAGTTTCTGTAAAGCTGCAAGAATTTTGGGAAAGAGAGAAGCTTCTTCCAAGAGGTCTGGGAAGCCACAGGCCAGAAAAGGACACATGGGCAAATGCAGCCACTTTTGTTTTTGACGTCTATGAAGGGTTCCAGAACAGACAGGAAACTATGGCGGCAGCATTGGATCTCAAGGATGCTTATAACAGTGTAAGATAAGACATTTTGATGACCGCACTGAAGGAGAAGGTCAGTTCCTGGCCGGTGAATTGGGTTGCAGCTGTCCTGTATTCACGTCGGGTTGCTCTCCAACTGGGCTCATGGACCTCATAACCATGCAGTTTGGACCCCAGGACTGCCACAGGGATCTGCCGTCTCACCGGTGCTCTTTAACGTGTATATGAGCAAGATTGCAAGCCTAGAAGCACCAGGAGTTGGAAGGAGGGAATAAACAGCCTGGGAGCTACAAGCGACAGTAGACAGCGATTGAGTGGTGTACAGAAATGAGGGCTGTTGTCCATTCGAAAAAGGCATCTGTTTTGTGGTGTTCTCTGGACAACAGAATCGTTAAAACTAATGTCCCAAGTCTCACGATAGATGGTAGAAACGTCAACAGAGAGGGCAAACTGAAGTATCTGGGAATTACATCTGACAGGAGCCTGTCCTTTAAGGACCATGTGGAGAGTGTTGTGACAAGATACCAAAAAGGACTCAGTGCACTTAAGACTATGGCTGCAATTGACATAGAACAGAGAATGCTTTTCACACCATATGAGCACCTGATCCTGTCAGTGGTTGATTGTGGCCTGGGACTGCTTACTGTCTCAGAGAGTCTGATGAATAAACTAGAGCGCATACAGAGCGCAGCTATGTGGGTCATTCTGGGTTGCACAAGAGACACCCCTGCGGTGTGCATGCGATACATCCTTGGTTTGCTGACTGTTGCAGGTAGGCACAAGGTGCAGGCGAAGTCATGTCTCAAGGTAGCTGCAGACACAGATCACCCTTTGCACGAAGCTCTGGATGCAGTTAAGGGTAAGGCTGATAAGAGGGAAGTCATGGATGGCTCAGGCAGAAGACACAATCAGACAGAATTGTATACTGGAGAACATTAGGCGAGGAGAGAATTGGGTTAAAGTGCCAGCTGAACAGTCAGACTTGTGTAGGGTCATAATCACATTGAGCCGGGAATGCAGAGACTGGCCAGCAGTGCCACGGAGGTGGAAATTCAGCAATTAATTTAAGATAATGCTCACTCAGAGGATTTGATTATTTATACAGACAGTTCAGTGTCAAGAGGCAAAAGAAGTGCTTGGGGCTTTTTAGCAAAAGTTGATGGTCGACGTTTGATGCAGGCAAGCCAAGCAAATGATATAACATCCAGCTTAAGAATGGAGCTGGAGGCGGTCACTGCAGCTTTCTGAAAACATTACACACACATACATCGTGATTGTAACTGACTCAGAAAGCATGCTTCGTGCAGAGTGGCGTGCTTCACTTCGGAGGACGTGGGTGAGGAGTATTGTCTTATTTTTTCTCCGGGACATGCTGATGTGTTTGGAAATGAACAGGCAGACAGACTGGCTGGCTCTGCACAACCTGGTGAAATACTGATAAATGATAAGGCAGACATGGTTGGGGCCTTGTGGAAGAGCATGTACAGTTTGGAGGAGATTAATGTAGTGGGGAGTGACGAGGGGTTTTGGCCGATGCTCGAGGCTCAGGGGAAAAGCGAGACTGACATTTAATCAGAATGCTACTGGCACCATAAGCATTGGAACTCTGCACTAGCTGCTGAAGATGGGGACAGAGTGCTTATGGGAATGCCACGAGTGCTGTGATGTCAGTTATTGAATGAACCTAATTCAACTCAACTCAATCTATGACTGTTTATCATGGTTTGTATATTCAGTTGTAACATTACATGGGAGACGTTTTTGTTTTCAGGATAGATCCTCATGTGATTATCTGACTTTTACACAGCCTTAATCAATGTTGTGATGTTGATGACATATTGTCTACGAAAACTACACATTGGGAAACAGTTTTTTAGCAGCACAAAAGCTGGTTACAAACCAGAAATTAACCACACAATGGAATATTTGGAAGACAAGAAAGCTGGATATTTTGTCTATAATCATCAGTATTTATAGAGATAATTCTACAGCATGACATCTGATTTTGTGTTGCATTTATAACTGCATATTTTTGTCAGAGCTTGAGAAAATGGGCAATATTACACTACCATCATGAAGGACAGAAGATGGAAGACCATTCATCTGGACTGGATCAAGTTAACACTGCACAGAATAGAACAGTCAAAACATCCCTTTCTGGAGAGAATGATTCAGCTGCAAGTAAGCAAAGGATCTGGACTATGTTTTACCCGCCAGGATAAACGTGGTGAGGTGTGTATGTAAGTGCTCTGTACATCTCTACATTTTTTTTTAAGCAAATTTATCATAAAAGCTTCCTGTAAAGTATAAACATATTCCAGAAGATGTGCACAAAGCAAACTAACAATTCCTGTGAGGGTAAAACGCTCAAGATGGCTCATAAATCTCACACCAAAAATGACTGAATACTACAGTAATGTTGTGTGTAATATATTAACATGCCACTTACGCTTGAAACAGTTTCGCTTTCCGTTAAGTTCATTAACAACCACATGGAGAAGTCTAGTGATGTTGTCCTTGGAGCAGATACTGAAATCATCATTGTTGGGGCGATCTCCCATTGTTGCACTTGCAAACATGATGTAGTTGCCATCCTGTGCATTTTCTTTCTCTGTGCCAAAAGGCGCACAGTCTGCACCTTGATCATGCTGTGTAAACAAGCGTAAGAAATATTTGTACATATATCTATCTACCTGATCATCTCAAAGTTAGCATGTTTGTGTGTGACAGAGTCTCTCTCTCTCTCTCTCTCTCTCCATCTTGCTCTGGTCTACACCCTTGTCCTCTTTTGATGTATGCCTTGTAATCCAATGAATAAAAAGCTAAATGAAATGGGGAAGCAGAACATGTGCATAACACAACAGAAAACAACTTTTTGGTCGGGAACCTTTCTCAACATGAACTGAACTACACAAAAATAACAAAGGGGAAAGTACTTCAACCACTAAAGGGGGTCACATGAGAAACTACTAATAAAAAAAAAAAGGTGACATGGAATGAATGAAAATAATGGTAGGCTAAAAAAATAGTTGTAAAATGTACAGGTGATTAATAGTAGGAATAAAAGAGTAGTAGAAATACAAATGTTAATGATCCATAAATGGTACTGATAAGAGATAGAATAAAGAAATAATATGAAATAAAAATATTTTTTAAAAAGCACTAAAAAATGCAATAAAAATAATGTGACAATAGAAAACTTCAGATGGTATGCCGGTCATTGATGCCTCCTAGACTAAGAACACCTAGACTGTAGATGAGGCAATTTTCTAAGCAAGCACGTGGTATGATTGCCAGAGCAGGATTTTAGCACTGTGACAGATATATCATCTTAACCTCTGTGGTCAGAGTTGTTAAAGTGGAGAGGGATTTGTTTAAGGGTCTTCTTGTCAATATCGGAGAGATGTTCCTGGAACTGATCACCCAGCTTCCAATGTATGCCTTGTTGATCTTTTGCTTGGAGCACAGACAGCGCATTTGTGAAGATGAACTCTTGGTGGCAGTCAGAACTGGTGTTGTGTAATATTTCGGCAGCCTGCTCTAGTGCTAGAATCTCTGCTGTGTAGTTCAAACATAATTTACCAGTGGGTACGTACATTCGGTGACGGTGGTTGTCTGGGTATGTGTTAAGGATGCAGGCACCCCCATTTTCAACAGTACTAGACGCTGATCCATCTGTGTAAGCATGTATACATGACAGTTTGTGGTAGTCTTTCTGGATCACGTTAAGAGCTCTTCGTTTTTTAAGGTAATTGGACTCATCTCCAGCTGTGAGTCCACTGACTAAAATCATTATCTGTATTGTGTCGCTGACTTGCTCCCCAGTTACAGGGTATAGGGTAGGTATAAGTGGTGCTTTTCTTATGGGAAGATTTGATAGACAATGTCTTCTAAGTCATTTTCCCCAATGAACAAAACTACTGCATTTGAGATGCCCCAATGCCAGATCATCTAATCTTGCATTTACTTCTCCATCTGGATCAAAGTTTTAGTGTCTCTTCTACAAGACAATTTCTGCACTGCAGTTATTTTTTGCATCTTCAGGATTGGTACAGTTTTCATGGATCCTGTGATGAGTCTAAGGACTTCATTTTGTACTTTTTCTAAGGAACTGTAGATTGAAATTAGCAACTGATTACCAAGCTGTTGCACCAAACTCCAAGTGGGGTCTTATCACTCCAATTATAAACTTTTTTTCAAAAATGTTTTTACATTCGCCCCCACCCCCAACATGTACTTACCAGGTTTCTAAGTAGCGCTAATCATCTCCTGGCCTTCCCTTCTACATTTTTTAAATGTTTCCCCCCACATGAGATTTTGATAAAATGTCACTCCAAGATTCCAAGATAAGTGGGAAAGCTGTCTTCCTTTAGCAAGGATGTTCCTTGGTGAATACTAGCAGCTTTGTCCCTCATGGAAAGAGAGAAAAGTGTTGTGGATGTTTTGTCTGTGTTGATGGCAACATGCCACTTTTCTGCCCATGTCATTAAGAGGTCTGCTGCTTGCTGCATTCTTAGACTTGCCACTGTTGTGTGTTCATCAGTACACAAGAGTGCCAAATCATCTGCATACAGGGCAGCCTTCACTCTTGTAGGGATGTCTTTCACCAGGTCTTTGATATAAACACACAAAAAGAGAGTTGGTACTCCTTGATGAAGCAACACTGTTTTGCTTTGCAGGCCATCAAGAATGACTCTAGTTCTCCTGTTGTGCAAGAAAGATTGGATCCCTTTTAGCATGTTTCATTGGATTCCATTTCTCTTTAGTTTTGCAAGGAGACCATCTTTCCACACTTTGCCAAAAGCCTGTTTGAAGTCGACCCACACCACCAGGACCTTTTTTTTTCTCTCGGAAGGCATCTTCTACAGCTTGTGACAGGTAGGTGACTTGGTCTTCTCTGCTGTAACATTCTTTAAACCCAGCCTGCTGTGACAACAAGATCTGCTCAGATTCAAAGTGCCATTTCAGTCTGGAATTGATAATTCTCTCCAATATCTTTCCCACACAGATTGTAAGACTGACTGGTCGATAGCTTGAAACCTTAGTCTTAATTGTTCATTTTTTTTAGTATGGGTATTGTGATGACTTCTCTCCTTACTTGAGGCACCAATTCTTTCTCCCAGATGAAATCAACAATTTCCAGCAGCTTTACTTTAGCAGCTGAGCACAGATTGATCAGCATTTTAAACTTGTTTCTTTCTTTTTTACTTAAGCCTGGAAATGGCATTCTGAAGTTGACCCATCACAAAAGCAGGAGTATCTGTCTGTCTCTTATTTGTTTGTATTTCTTTACTAATTCCTCTCTGGTGGTCCTCATTTAGGGTCAGGTTGCTTTCAAACTCTGGCCAACAAGCCAGCAGCTTGTTTTCTTCTCAAGATTCTGTTCTCTTTACTCAGTGTGATTGTCTAGGAGAAAAACTCTCTTCATTAAATGATTTAGCTAATCCATTAAATGATTTAGCTAATCCATTAAATGATTTAGCTAATCTCCTGAGTTTCTTGCCATCTTTTTCAAGGTTTAGAGCTGCTGTTTTTTTTTCTCCAGCTTTTACGTTTTTTTTTTTTAAAGTTTAGTTTTCTGATTGCCAGATGAAGTTTGGGATTCTGCATCCTTTTTAGCCTGGTTCAATGTTTCCTAACATTCATGGAGTGTGCTGGACCAGTAAGGTCTGTAGTTATGTAAACAAAGAAAAAAAAAAAAAAAAAAAACTAAATTACAAACATGATACATTTCTTTACATTTAAGAAACAAAAAGACTAAGAAAAAGACCACTAGACCGTTAAGTACACAGAGAGATTGATAAACTCACAGGGGATCCAAAATTATGACCAACTTCATGGGTAAATGTGAGCTGAGAAACCCGGACTGGCACAGCCTTCCCATAGTTCACTGTGGTCACAATGCCTGTATTTAAACTTTTTGGAACAGTTTCATCTCGTTCCATGTAGCTTTTATGTTTCTCACAAATCCCACCAGAAGCCACTGTAAACACACACATTAATAACTTTGTTAGATCCAAAATTGGACAAAAGGCAGGAGTTAATATTCCAGGAGAATAAACTAAGAATGGCACAGACTCCCATACAGACCCTCTTGTTTACAACTGTAATCAGATCTAGATGAAAGGTGACTGCTGACCAAATGATTAAGTTTCTCATTATTACAACCACCATAAAAATATAACATGTAAATCATCACTTCAGAACTTCCTTTCTTGTCTCTTTAGCCCAGGCCATGTTTCAGTAATCCTGTCTGACCATCCTTCTGTTTCCTCTATTTCAGTTATTTCTGATACAGATGTTCTCCCATGATGCTTAACAACTTTCTAGTACCTTCTTTCTGCCCCCTTCACCCTTTCAGCTTTGTATCTTCTCTCTCTGTCTTCCCTCACCTTGTATCTTATCTCTTTGTCTTTCCCCCACCTTGTATCTTATCTCTTGGACTCTCAAAGCATTGTATCTTATCTCTTGGCCTCTCAAAGCATTGTATCTTCTCTCTTGGTCTCTCAAAGCATTGTATCTTATCTCTTGGTCTCTCAAAGCATTGTATCTTATCTCTTGGTCTCTCAAAGCATTGTATCTTATCTCTTGGTCTCTCAAAGCATTGTATCTTCTCTCTTGGTCTCTTAAAACATTGTACTTTCTCTCTCGGTCTCTCAAAGCATTGTATCTTCTCTCTTGGTCTCTCAAAGCATTGTATCTTCTCTCTTGGTCTCTTAAAACATTGTACTTTCTCTCTCGGTCTCTCAAAGCATTGTATCTTCTCTCTTGGTCTCTCAAAGCATTGTATCTTCTCTCTCGGTCTCTTAAAACATTGTACTTTCTCTCTCGGTCTCTCAAAGCATTGTATCTTATCTCTTGGTCTCTCAAAGCATTGTATCTTCTCTCTTGGTCTCTCAAAGCATTGTATCTTATCTCTTGGTCTCTCAAAGCATTGTATCTTATCTCTTGGTCTCTCAAAGCATTGTATCTTATCTCTTGGTCTCAAAGCATTGTATCTTATCTCTTGGTCTCTCAAAGCATTGTATCTTATCTCTTGGTCTCTCAAAGCATTGTATCTTATCTCTTGGTCTCTCAAAGCATTGTATCTTATCTCTTGGTCTCTCAAAGCATTGTATCTTCTCTCTTGGTCTCTTAAAACACTGTACTTTCTCTCTCGGTCTCTCAAAGCATTGTATCTTCTCTCTTGGTCTCTCAAAGCATTGTATCTTCTCTCTTGGTCTCTTAAAACATAGTACTTTCTCTCTCGGTCTCTCAAAGCATTGTATCTTCTCTCTTGGTCTCTCAAAGCATTGTATCTTCTCTCTTGGTCTCTTAAAACATTGTACTTTCTCTCTCGGTCTCTCAAAGCATTGTATCTTCTCTCTTGGTCTCTCAAAGCATTGTATCTTCTCTCTTGGTCTCTTAAAACATTGTTCTTTCTCTCTCGGTCTCTCAAAGCATTGTATCTTCTCTCTTGGACTTTCAAAGCATTGTATCTTCTCTCTTGGTCTCTCAAAGCATTGTATCTTATCTCTTGGTCTCTCAAAGCATTGTATCTTATCTCTTGGACTCTCAAAGCATTGTATCTTCTCTCTTGGTCTCTCAAAGCATTGTATCTTCTCTCTTACTCTCTCAAAACATTGTACCTTCTCTCTTGGTCTTTTAAGACATTGTACCTTCTATCTTGGTCTCCCCTCTGCCTTTTATCTGATTTTTTGGTCCTAATCTCCTTCTGCATTGTATCTCCTCTCTTAGTCTCCCCCTGCATTGTATCTTCTCTGTTGGTCTGCCCCTGTCTTGCATCACCTCTCTTGGTCTCCCTTTGTCTTGTATCTTCACTCTTGGTCTCCCTCTGCCTTGTATCTTCACTTTGTGTCTCCCCCTGCATTGTGTCTTCTCTGTTGGTCTCCCTTCGGCCTTGTATCTTTTCACTTGATCTACCCCAGCATTGCAACTTCTCTTTTGGTCTCCTCCGCCTTGTATCTCTCCCTGCTCTCCCACTGTCCAATGTCACAACAAATTCTGCTCATGACATTCTCCAGAATGCAAACTTTCTCCTTTTAATGGACGTAACAGTTCATTCTGTTCCTGAATTTCTTTTAAGATATATTTAATCTGCTTTTTGACTGTCCATGGTATTATCATTCTTTTCTAAAACTACATATGTGCTGTTTTCAAATAATGTTTTAACAATCAGCTAAGTGTCCATTATTTATTCAGCATATCAGTACTGTACAAAAAGTAGACGTCCAAGGTTTACTACCTCTAAAAGCTGACCTTATTCTCACTGACTGAAACATCATTACATAATCTGAATGGAAACTACATCTAAATGTTGACCACCTCTGTCAAAGTTAAATGCCAGCCACCTGGAATATGATGCACAATAGTAATTTACACTCTATAACCTGAGCAATTAGTCTTAACAGTAGTGTGTATGTGTACTTTGTTGTAGTTAGAAACCAGAATGGTGTGACATACATCTGTTGACTTAGGCACCACCACAACACTATTTTGGCAACATTTATCACAAGAATCACAGGAGAGACAATACTATTAAACTCTTACAGAGGCACAGACACAAATAAAACACAAAGAACTCAGTCCTCTTAAAGATTTTCTGGAAAGAAAAAAAAAAAGGGGGGGGGGGGGGGATCAAGTGATCTAAGAAGCAATGGCCTACTATAGCTTTTATTAGGCCATCAAGGTCAATGTAAATTCACATTTTTCTGCAACTATATATTATTATTTTTATTAATATTATTTTTCCAACAGCACACACATTTATCTTCAAAATGATAATTAGTTTTAAAAAATGTGTTGCAAATTAATTAAACTAGTTTAATTTGTGTATAAATCTATTCGATAAATACAGTGAACACACGGTGGCTCCTGAAGTTGTATAAAAACGGGAATTTCCATTGATCTAGATGGCCTTATAAAAAGCTATATTGGGCTGTGTAAGAAACAGACCAAGGTTGACTTCAATATTTCAGAAAGAATGTTTAGATTAAACCATGATAAAACAGATGCTGATGAGTTGATTTTACACTGTACACAAAATGAAAGTGTGGTAGAGAAAAATACTGCTGAAACTGTAGTGTGCCAACAGAAGTAGTATTGAGCAGCTCATCAAACTCAGTGTTCTGTGAGACAAATCAAGGCCAGACGATTGCAAACATTGGTCATCTAATGATTGAAACATGAATATTACCAGCTGAACTAGGAACAAATTTCAGCAATGAAGATGGATTGATTCAGGCATTCGCTTGCAATAATAAAAACAGACCATTATCACCAATGTAGGTGTCATAACAGCTGAAGATGATGGTAAAGATTTATGAAGCAATGAAAGTTGTACAAATCAGTTGACAAAAATCCATTCTTAAGTTTGAGGAATGTCATTAGATCTTCTTCATAACATGACACAAACTATGTCATTAGGAGATTAAACAGGAGTGACAGTGATACAGACAATTCAAAGTAAAAAGAACCACTGGCCAACATGAACATGAACAAATTATGTCTGTGAGCTTCAAGCAACATAAAGAACAGTGTATTTTCACCTTCTCTAGCTCCCACCCAGGCCAGGCCGAGTGTTCCTCTAGTAAAGTCTCGGTGTGTGAATATATAAGCAAGGCAGAATTCATCATGGTTGTCCATGGAGTTGAGATTCAAAAAGTTGCTGACATCGATGTTGGGATTACAATAGCTGGAGGCTGTCGCAGTGTTACAATGCTGGTTTTCTGGGGTCATAATCTTCAGACAGCAAATAAACGATCATTACTTTTCAACATCACATTCTACATATGCAAGTGAAACCTCATATGCTACATATACAAGCAAACCATCACATTCTACATATACAAGTGAAAAATCACATTCTACATATACAAGTGAAAAATCACATTCTACATATACAAGTGAAACATTACATGCTACATCTACAAGTGAAAAATCACATTCTACATATCCAAGTGAAAAATCCCATTCTATATATACAGTGACAAATCATATTCTACGTATACAAGTGAAAAATCGCATTCTACATATCCAAGTGAAACATTACATGCTACATCTACAAGTGAAAAATCACATTCTACATATCCAAGTGAAAAATCCCATTCTATATATACAGTGACAAATCATATTCTACGTATACAAGTGAAAAATCGCATTCTACATATACAGGTGAAAAATCACATTGTACACATGCAAGTGAAACATCACATTCTACATATTCAAGTGAAAAATATTCTACAAAAACAAGAGAAACATCACATTCTACACATGCAAGTGAAACATCACATTACAGATCAGTACTCCTACCATCTATGGTCACCAAAGAAAACAAAAACAGAATGAAATGAGTATTACCTGTAATTGTAATTTAAATTTTTTTTTTTTTAAATGTTTGTACTCTTTACAAACGAATAGAGCATGGAATTCATAATCTGTTTATATCACCATTGATCACTGGCATCATGAAAGCTAATAGACTGAAATGAATGGCACATATTGAGAGAATGTCAGATGACAGAGAGGTAAAAGCCGTATACACAAGGGAGCTGAATGGTCCCAGACCACGAGGCGACCAGTAAGACGATGAAAGGATAATATCTAAACAGACCTGCAAACACTTGGTGTCACCAACTGGAAAGAGAAGGCCAACGAGAGAGATGAAGGGAGGCAGGTGATATTTGCAGCAATGAATCTCAAGGGCTTGGAATGCTGAAAAAGAAGTGTTTGTTAACTCAATATTCAGCAAAAAAATAAACCTGCCATCTGACCAGTCAGTTGCATATAAAACAAATCAACTTACACTAGTTCTCTGCACAACAAAATTGATTCCATTGTAACGGAGGTCATTGTTGTATGTTGTAAACGTGGTACGGTGGAATATGTTCTTCAGGGCACTGACATGACTGGCAAAAAATGCAAGGATTTCTTCTTTTGCTCGCTCATCTGACTGTTGAACATTACAAATAAAAACTATAAAAATACAATAAAAGCTATTTCTGTTGGTTCAAACAAGACACGAAATATAAAGTGGGTTTTTTGTGTGTTTTTTTTTTATGTGCATCAGTGACGCTGACAAGAACACGTGGAGAGGGCTGTGGGGCATATCTGTCCACTTTCTTGGTGCAATACAAACTGAGAATCAGACACTATAATTTCTCTGTCAAGTACCTGCAAGGCACTTCATAGCCATTTTGAAAATTAGTATCATCTCCATACACAAGGTACTCCATTCTTGGATCACGCAGGCACTGTCATTGCCCTTAGAGAGATTGGACGTTCTGAGGATTTTGGAAGCAACGTGTCCACATCACTGCTAAGAATATGCGAACTGGGAGTAAAGATCGACACAGCCAAGCATGAGAAACACACTGGAAGCACACAAAGTCTTGTTAACCAACATAGGACTGGCACTATTAACCGCACAATGCTGATGAATATGTTTACAGGGGAATCTGAGCGCCTATGGATGTGTCCGGAGTGCTGTGAAGATAATTTAACTCATAACTCCATTATTCTTAGTAAAGACATTTGCAACTATTCTAGCTGACAATCCCCAAACAGGCTTTTTTCAACAATGCGCAGAAATGTTAACTGTTAGCTGAGGTTCCAACATTACTGTTAAATTCCTGTGCTAGTGGAAATCACAGCAAATGTCCTCCATGGTCTCAGTTAAAAACTAGTGAAAACATGTCAATCCCCGAACAATCTTGAAGCTTGCACACGCAAAGTAAAAATGCATAATATTTCACATGAAATCTACATCTGACAGTGTTGCATCAAGCACTCAACTCAGTAGCTGGGCGGCAAACCCTTTGAAATAGTGAGTCAAGAAATGGCAGAACTATCAGCAAAAACTGAAAGCAAATAACTTTTTAGAGCATCAGCCGCCAGCCAGCTATTTGCCATTGTAGCCAGAAGTCTGCACAGAAATGTTGGCATATACTACTGTTATTTCTGCAGACATATTTGTCCAACATTATCCAGACACCAATTTGTGTCCAGTGTGACAACATCATGGAAGCTGCTAGCGTCTTTCCCTGTGAATCTGCTTGACTGTAGTACCTTGAACACTGTACTCTCTTGTAGGAACCATTTACAAGCAGCCTTTTATCACCATCCTTTGAGATCACTTAGGTCATTCTCGCATGACAGCCCACACCCCTCTCATCTTGGACCTGCCCACATCTCGTATGTCTCTATGTTAATGAGATATTTTCAACTTTTTGACTTTTCCATAGGTAAATAGTCCTTCTTTTTGTACTTGTGTGTCAAGATGTCAGGTTAAGTGCTCAATTCTATTCTAATTCTCTTGGGAATTATATATATTTAAATTCAGCCATATAGGTGGGAGAGTTACTTATAGTGAAGCTAAAATCCATTGGCCTAACTACCTCTTAGATGCGGATGAATCAACTTCCGCCTCTAGCTTGAGACACGCTTAGATTGGGACTCATTCTTGACTAAGCTTCTAGACTCAGCAGACAGTTTGCTGCGTTTTATGTCTATCTGCTTTACTCCATTTGAATCACCGATTCACTCGGAAACGTCCATAAGCATGGGCAAGTACATTATAGATTATTGGTACAGAAGCATTCGGCCCTGCTGCTGAGTGTAGGACAGATGTAGCTTTGTGAAGCAACGGGACTTGGCTGTCAAACCCTTCAAACTGCAGGAGGGTGCAAACCCAGAGCACTCCCCTACAGGCCGAGGAAAATTCTCTCCTCATACTCCCTTAACGAGTTCCAGACAGCTTTAACATTTTATGTCCATGTTATAGTATGATTTATTCACATTTAATATATACATATAGGCACTCTGTAACTAGGGAGGGAAACGAACAGGTCATGTCAGACCGTACTGATTGGTATCAGTGGGAGTCATGCTAATTTTAGTTCAGGTGTGATGTCACTTCTGACCTGCCCAATATGTAAACACAACAAGGTCTGCAGGAGAGTAAGAACACTGTCTCGTATTTGTAATGCTAGTATGCTTTCCATTTTTATACATTCATGTATTTGTGGTATACTCTTTGTGAGTATAAGTACCTTGTTATGGAAAGGAAATGGTGTTATCCCTCTGTGGGTTGGCATATGCAAACTATCGCTGTCACTAGGGATGGCATTAGACAGAACATAGTTTCTTTCTGACCTCACTGCTACCACTGGTGATCCGGAGGTTGTTACAGACCTAATCGGTCTATGGAAGCCTAGCAGAGACATCTGAGCTCAAATATTGTGGACAGATTGATGGGTAGTGAACATGGTATGGTGTTTGGTGACTGCCAAATTTGGTTTTCCTCTTTGTCGCAGGATGTTACTAATATCTGGAGGTCAAGTCAACGATCAGTATCCTAAGGCACATCAGGTGAAACCAGCATACAGCCTGCAGTATGAGGGATAGTCAATGAACACTTGTCCATGCACCATTGTCAAGTGTTACATAAGATGAAAACTGTCAACTGTGCCGGTATGATCACTATCAGCTTTTGTCATCAACACAGGAGCTTTTTATGATGTGCTCATGCTGCCACTACCAGAGGGTGGCATAGTGGTGAATCTAGAACTGTAACTGTTAACAGATACCACTGAAAATTATTCACATTTTATTGTGGTCTAGGCTAGACATTCAATGTTCTGTTAATTCTAGTGACTAGTAAACAGTGATCTTCATGGTGGAATTCACAAGACTTCAAACATGCACTGCCACTGTGGGAAGAACCAGCCTTTCAGAGAAACAGAACATCCTGGACAGATAAGTGGTGGTCACCAGCAAATGCAGTCAACCCTAACACTCAGTGCCAGTTACCTAGGTCCAAAATTACACAGTTTGGCGGTGATAACACTTGCTGCTGCTAGGGACAACCCAGGAGCCCACCAGGAGTAGAGAATTCTTTTACTTCCTTAGCTGGTTTACTTTGTCTGGCTGAATTCATTTGTTTACTTCCTTACTTGCGTTGCACTGATTACATGATGTTTTATTATATTTACATTCTGCAGTTAAGTGTCCATCCTTCACATTTTCCTGTATTGTCACACTCAACAGGCGATGTAGAGAAGAGAATCCTGTTGCTGTTAATGCAGAGGTCAACGCTCTCATCGGTGAAAATTCAGACGAAGCAGATGCACTAATCTATACAGACGGATCCGTTATACGCCAAAGAAGAAGCGCATGGGCATTTACAGCACGCTCAGCGGGCAGAACAGTCAAATAAGCCAACGGTGCCTTCTCCATGACAACCAGCAGCATGACGATGGAGGTGATGGCAGTGACGCAAGCGTTTGCCTGGCTTGAAACACAAAAATACACCCGCATATGTATACTCAGTGATTCAATGAGTATGATCCGGAGGGTTCAGGCAGGTTCAGTGCGAAGACAATGGCTTGAATCATTACAGAAGTCCACTGTGCGTGGAGTCACCTTTATTTTTGTTCCGGGACACGCAGGCGTCGATGGAAATGAAAGAGCTGACAGGTTGGCTGGATCCGCTATCACTACCGACGGTCGGCCTATGGATCATGCTGATATTATCAATGCCCTCAGAGAAATGGGAAGGATAGAGGACTTTGGTGGCAGTGAATCCACATCACTCGCCAGAATGGCAGACTTGGGAATTAAGATCGGCACAGCAAAAAACGAGACGCACACCGGACACGTCAGAAGACTTGTTAATCAACATAGAACTGGTACTATTAGCCATCAGACGTTGGGGTTCATACTGAGGGGAGGATCTGAGCACCTATGGACATGTCCGGAGTGCAATGACGATAACCCAACTAACTAACTAACTAACTAACTAACCTTCACAGTTCTTAAGTTGTCTAGAATGTATGTGGTATTGTGTAATTCACGTTAAACTGTGTTAATCTGACCAGCAGAGGATTACTAATTAGTCTAGGGGCTTAAAAGTAGTGGGGAAGTCAGTCTAAGTTGTGCCTGGGAATGTTTATGAATTCTGTAGTGCCATAATGTGAATCACCCCACCCCTGAAGTTGGTTGGATGTTCTTTGGAGCTGCTGGATGCCACCTAGACCATTGCGAGCCAACATCTCAACATTTAAACTACTTCAGAGTGTCTTTTGGTTCATTAGGGGAAACCCTAACAAAGACATGTGACATGAGCATTATGTGACAGTCATGCAGTGACTGTCTGACATTATTAGTGAATTATATGTGCCAGTGCAGTTTAGATTCAGTGTCTCAAGTATAAGTGCCCTTTAAGCCAGTTCAATTCTCCCTTTTCCCCATCACGCATGGCTGGGAAAACAGACCAGTAAATGACTACTAATCATGCTACAGTCATCTACTTCTACATTTTCTTAACTATGGACTAAGAAAGAGCATAATCATCTTGACTGAAGATCTGGAAAGCCACTAGTGTCAGAGGAGTAGATTTTATTACAACACTGGGGTTGTTATTTAATGCAGTCTAGTCTGGTGATGATACAACTTCCCACATTAGATTTTTAAAAAAATCCATCTTGGTTTGTGACCATCTAGTTCTTCTTCTGCATCATCATCATCAGGTGCCTTGCCGACTGTGTGGGTGATCATGCCTCTCCATAATCTGCGATCTCCTGCAGCATGTATCAGTTTGTGTGCCGACACACCTCCATGCCATGCAACAAGACTGTCAAGCATCTTCTCTCGTTGTCTTCCTCTATCCCTCCTTCCACAGATCTTTCCAGTGGTCACAAGATGTTCTATTTTCCCTCTTCTCACCACATGGCCGAAAAATGATGACTGTCTTTTTCTGATGTCTGTGATAAGTTGTCTCCCGCCGCTTTCAAAACCTCTTGGTTGCTCTTTTTGGCTGTCCAAGATTTTCTAAGCATTCTTCTGTAAGAAGAAATTGTTTGGCCTGCCTACCGATTGTCCAGGATTCACAGTCATATGTTAAAACTGGATGTATGTAGCAAGCAAGAATTCTTTTTTTAAAACTCTCAATGACAAGGATTTTTGCACAAGATGTTTTTCATTTTATAAAATGCAGTTTTTGCCTGTCCTATTTTGTTTCTTATCTCAGTTATGCTCTTCCATCTGATGTTATCCATGTGCCCAGATACTTAAATTTCTGTACTTGTCCTAAAAAACACCATCAACTTTTTTTTTACACATTTAGGAATAATTTGTTTCTTTGATACCACCATCACTTCTGTCTTCCCATTATTCAAACTGAGGCCCATTCTTCCACTTTCTAACACCACAATATCTATCATTTCCTGTAATTCTTTCTGACTGCTATCAAGACTGTGTCATCAGCATAATGCAGATTGTTTATATTGTGCTCATCAACCACAATTCCGGGCATATCAATTAAAGATCTCATTATATAACACTGTATATTGAAAACAAATCAGGTGACAGTACACATCCTTGTTGTATGCCCCTCTTTGTGCTTTGAAATGTACCTAAACATTTGTTAATTCTTATAGCTGCTGTTTGCTGCCAATACATATTCTTTATTATTCGTAGATCTTTTCCCATCAATGTTTAATTTTTCTAACAGTTTGATTACTTCTTCATGCTTCACACAGTCAAATGCTTTTGTATAGTCTATGAAGCACAAGTACAAATCAGTCTTTACTTCTATAGCTCTTTCTGACAATGTCCTTAGGATGTATATGGCATTTTTTGTACCTTTTCCTTCTACAAATCCACATTGTTCATCGCTGATTTCTGGTTTAATTTTGTTTCTTATTCTTCTCATAATTATTCTCAGTAAAATCTTAGTCATGTGACTCATGAGACTTATTGTGCGATGGTCTTCACATTTTGATGCTTTTCGGAATAGCACTCGATTGGGTCATGCGCAAATGCACACAGGACACACATCTAGGCATCAAATGGGTCGACAAAGTTCTCGAAGATCTTGACTTTGCTGACGACCTAGCACTCCTAAGCACAACACATCTAGAAGCTCAGGAAAAAATGGACCGCCTCCAGAATATTTCAAGCCAAATCGGCCTTCAGGTCAACGCAGCCAAAACGAAAATCATCGATCTTACCAACGAGTCGAAAGACATCAAACTAAAGGATATTTTTCTTGAAAAAATCACCAGCTTCACATACTTAGGGAGCAAAATAACCTCTGCGGGAGATACAACATCAGAAATAACGACTCGAATCGCGTTAGCATCAAGTGCCTTTAACAAACTGTCAAACATTTGGAAGTCAAGATCACTCAGCAACAACACGAAACTTAAGGTCTTCAATTCCTGTGTGATCCCAGTGCTAACTTATGGTTGTGAGAGTTGGAAATCATCAGTATCAATCGATAAGAAACTAGTCGCTTTCGAGAATAGATGCCTCTGAAAGCTATTGAATGTTCACTGGTCGGACTTTAGGTCCAATACATCTATAAGACAGGAAACAAAACAAAAATATGTGTCTGATTTTATTAGAATGCGTCGCTGGAATTACATCGGTCACGTACTCAGAATGGACATACAGAGACTTCCCCACCAAGCCTTCATATGGTCACCAGAGGGTAAAAGAAAACAGGGAAGACCAAAAGAAACTCTCCGTAGAACCATCACAAGGGAGAGCTCAACCATAGGTCTCAGTCGCACTCAAGACTTACATCAAGTGGCAACGAACCGACAGACGTGGAAAGCTATGACCTCTGCCCTATGCGCCATCTTTGGCACAAGAGGAATAACTAACTAACTAACTAACTTCACATTTTAAAGTGCCTGGTTTCTTTGGCAGAGCTATAAATATGGATTTTAAAAGGTCATTTGAAATATACCCACTATTATAAATATCATTTAAAAGTTTAGTTATTATCTCAATTCCGAAATCTCCCAGTGCTTCGATTTCTTCCAGTGAGATGTTGTCTGGCCCGGGTGCTTTTCCTTTCTTCATATGATGTATTGCATCCTCAACTTCTGCAATCATTATTCTTCTTCTGCATTCACCCTTAAAAGGTACTGACATGTGATAATGCAATAAGAATCACTGTAAATAACTGTAATATGAAACTCAATATGAAATCCTTCACAAGTTTCACTTTCATTCTGCGCTCTGATCTCTCATTCATTTGTGAAGGTTACTTGATGGTAACCATTCCTGTTTATTATTTTGCAACAATAGTACTGCTGGAACCCCCAAGATGATTATCAATCCTTCATCTAGAACACATTTTATTCTTCCTCTTCTTAATTTTTACTGGCTGCAAATTCCAATGGAAAGCTATGGTTGATAATACATTTCTGGTTTTGCTCCAAAACTTGTTTGCAGGCACAGCCATTTTACAGATCTGGTTAACTTGTGTGCAGACAGTTGGTTCCTCACCTCTCAGACAGTTACACTCAAACTTGGAAAGAAAACAACAACAATTAGTTGTCTTTAACAACAAGCTTGTTGGGGGCAGTGGAACCCCTGGAAGCCACAGGGGAAGAACATGCTTTATAAGCTGACAGTGAAAGCCTACACTCACTAGCAGATATATTTCATTCAGTGCATAATACTGTCAGCACTTCCTGTTGTACCTGTAATGTAACCATCAATTTTCATTCAGCCAAACTATAAGTGATTGGATTTTAGTAGTTTCAACATTATATCTGAATGGCACACTGTGGCAGACTTTTATTTCAAGGTTGTCAGCAGTCAGTAGTAGAAGTTTCAAACTAGTAAACAAGTAGTCCTTGCAAAATCCAGAAACATGCACTTGTAGTAAATGCAGAAGGAACAACTAGAGGTACTAAATGTGTTTATTTTAAGGCATTTCAGCCTACTCTCCACCTTAGGGATGAGAAGAAACACGTCTTAAACTTACAGAAAAAGAAAAGAGAGAGATGTACACACACACCCAAAAAAATGAATACTGGAAACAAAATCTCACCAAACGTTGCTTGAATTTGTCTTCTTTAACATAGTTCCACATCATGGGATCAGACCGCAGATACAGAAAGCATGTATTGTTTGTACCTAGTGATGCTCTTTTTTTCCTTTCTTGATAAAAGACATTTAGGTGTTCATTTGTTTGAGCAAAGTATTTGCTGCGCTGTGACTCATTCTCAGAGTGTGGTGGATCTCTTCTCATCTGCGGGGACTGCTAACATAAGACACAAAAAAACAACACTTTACACATGTTTAAGCTATACAGATTTGATTCATTTTCAATAAATGGTGACAAATGATCTGAACATAAATAGAAATCTACTCACAGAAACATGGGCTGTGAAATATTCAAGGCTTCATTGTGACAAAACAATGTGAAATCCTGAACAACAACAAAATATTAATATATGAGTGAATCATTCAAGGCTGCACATTATGACTAACATTTATTATAAATTATAAACCATAATAAAAAAACAACTATCACTCACTCACGCTCACTCACTCTCGCATGCATGCACCCCCCCCCCTCCCCCACCCCCGCAGGTGTTATACTTTTAGACTTCAAGGTATAGTAATAAACAATGTGCAGTTGTATCTTAAATAAGGTTGAACTGGAAAAAGCAGAATTAAACATGAATGCTGCCAGAAGAAGATAAAATAAAACATAAACTTGTCTATATGCATGGCAAGAGAAAAGACAGTGGTCATAATAAGTCCAGGAAATATGATCAATGTTAAACTGATACACACAAAGGTGATGATTCTTGTGGGGAGGACATATTTTATGTTGGCTCTCCATGTACAATTTGACAAAACGTTTTTTTTAAACCTGCCCTGAGGTCTTTGCAACATGTGTTTATGCTTGCAGTTTCTCCACAGGATCTTTATATACCTTCTTGTTTCATCTGATATGTTGATGAAGTTGATGGTGCAATATGTTATCCAGCTGTTTAAACTTTCTACATATACCATCATCTGCGTTATTTTGCTCCTCATGCATATCACTGTTACTACATTAACCTAATGTAACTGTCCTATTTCTTCTGTTGATGTGCTCCATCAATTACAAGGTGTCAATACTCCACTATTTGTTTTTTTATACTAAATTTTCTCAACATCCTTGGTGCCTCAAGTTTCTTTCTTATTTTACTTTTTATGGCCAACATTACAATTCATGCAGATTTTTTTTTTTTTAAATGTTTCTCAAATATTTATTCATATGTGACAAGGGTTCTACTAGAAATAACCATTCCACTAACATAATAACTTAACCCAAAAAGCTTACTCTTTTCTCTCTGTTATGAACTTTGTCAACTACTGAAGATTTTGCCACATTGTCCATCCATTTTTTCACTCTGTCAACACCACAAGATCCAATATCGCCCTTTTCCCTGATGTATCTGAAAGTATACAGGATTTATACAAGCAAACAAATGGATGCATTTGACATACAAACTCGTGGCGTATAATCTGTGAATTTCTAAACTGACACTGACAGTATAAAAACTGTTACGCAGCTATGAGGAGGCAATGGGACTCCCAATCTATGGAAATAGCCAGTGTGACTGACAAGACCTGCCCACACAGAGAAAAGCTGTCCACAATTAGAGCATGGGATTTCAGGACCGTTGCCATCACATGTATTTTGTGTGTTTCTTCTCAGATGCTCAGCTCTCATCCTTTCTGCAATTAATTTTCCCGTCATTCTCATTCCCTTCCTGATTTCCTACCTCCATGCTATACAGCCCATGGCATTTTGTTCAGAGAAATTTGCCTCAATACCTCAATCATTCAGATATCCCTTCTTACAAGCACTGAGAACATCGGCCCAGTCAAATGTCTCCAGCTCTTCACGATCAATGTAGGCAGACTGCAGGTCTGTTATTAATACCTTGCACCATAATCTCTGTCTCTTTTTTGTTGTTGCTGGCTGTTATTCAAAGTTCAAATAATGCATCAGCAAATGCCGATGGTAAACACTGCAGTTCCTCGTCTGAGTGAGAGGTAATTGCTGCATTATCATCAACTGACAATGACTTACAATGCATAACTGCTACTTCTCGATCTGTCTCTGAGACTAATTTAGACCAGAGATGAAGTTCCTCTTCTCCAAAGCACAAAAACCTGGGCAGTATTCTAGAGACCAAGTGTTGCCCATGCATCATGATCCCTCACTTGGTCTGCCTTGTTTATTCCAAAGGAAAGATAATACCAATGAATTTAGAACAAAGCACGCCACAGAAGCTATTGGGTCAGAACAGCAGTGTTCTATCTGTCCACCTGTCAGAACTTTCATGTTGGTTTTTATGGTCACAGTATTCTACAGTTGTTGAAAGAAATATAAAGACAAGCTAAATATTTTAGCTGCATTTAAGGACATAATATTCATTGGTGAGACAGAATACCAAGGCAGGAATACATCAAAAGATGCAGTATCAGAGAATGTACAACTCGGACAAGCGATAATGTGTGCTGGATATCAAGTGCAGCATAATTTCCTTGTGGAGATGGCACCTGATTGATTTATATCTTTTCTAAGAAATCCACAATGTTTATCAACCACTTCTTCATTTAACTTTGAGTTCTATCTTTTTATCTTGAGCATCTTAGCTAAATGGTTCATTAAGTTAATAGTTCTGTGGTCTTCACAGTCACCAGACTTGGTCTTTATGGGCAGTGTAACCGTCCCAGCAGTATAATCCACAGACATCAACTAACCTGTATGTTACTGGGACCTTCTGGGGCAACAGCAAACCAATCAACAAATTTTGTTTTCAAGGGGTCAAAAATTGGGTATGGCCCGTTATACATTTCCCTGTGATAGACACTTATCTTTCATTCATATATATTTTATCTATAAAACATGTTAGTATAATAATGTTAAATTATTACAGTTTTAGGCTAACTGAACAATATGAATATGAAATCTCCCACAAGCACAGTTCTCGTCATGGAGCTAGAAATTAAAGTTTTTTTTTAAATTTCTAGCTCCAAAAAAAAAAACAGGTTTTCAAAAAGGGAAATCACCTGAATGGGTCTTTATCCATGCGTGACTCTGGGTAGATAACTGCAGGGAAAGCTGGTTGATGGAAATACTGTTCTGCTGGATCTATGTGATATGTGGTGTCACCAGGTATGTATATGTGGCCTCTAGCTGTGCCATTGATAACAGCCAGGTGAACACTGCTTTTTGGAACACCTGTAAAAAAAATAGTATTGCATTTTCTATAGCAATATGTTTTCTACAAATGTGATCACAGAACACTAGGTATGTTTTGATGAGCTAGGAAGAGATCATATCTACACAAGGTATGTTTTGATGAGCTAGGAAGAGATCATATCTACACAAGGTATGTTTTGATGAGCTAGGAAGAGATCATATCTACACAATGTATGTTTTGATGAGCTAGGAAGAGATCATATCTACACAATGTATGTTTTGATGATGAAATTCTACACAAGGTATGTTTTGATGAGCTAGGAAGAGATCATATCTACACAAGGTATGTTTTGATGAGCTAGGAAGAGACCATATCTACACAATGTATGTTTTGACGAGCTAGGAAGAGATCATATCTACACAATGTATGTTTTGATGAGCTAGGAAGAGATCATATCTACACAATGTATGTTTTGATGAGCTAGGAAGAGATTATATCTACACAAGGTATGTTTTGATGAGCTAGGAAGAGATCATATCTACACAATGTATGTTTTGATGAACTAGGAAGAGATCATATCTACACAATGTATGTTTTGATGAACTAGGAAGAGATCATATCTACACAAGGTATGTTTTGATGAGCTAGGAAGAGATCATATCTACACAATGTATGTTTTGATGAACTAGGAAGAGATCATATCTACACAAGGTATGTTTTGATGAGCTAGGAAGAAATCATATCTACACAAGGTATGTTTTGATGAGCTAGGAAGAGACCATATTTACACAAGGTATGTTTTGATGAGCTAGGAAGAGATCATATCTACACAAGGTATGTTTTGATGAGCTAGAAAGAGATCATATCTACACAAGGTATGTTTTGATGAGCTAGAAGGAGATCATATCTACACAAGGTATGTTTTGATGAGCTAGGAAGAGATCATATCTACACAATGTATGTTTTGATGAGCTAGGAAGAGATCATATCTACACAAGGTATGTTTTGATGAGCTAGGAAGAGATCATATCTACACAGTATGTTTTGACGAGCTAGGAAGAGATCATATCTACACAAGGTATGTTTTGATGAGCTAGAAAGAGATCATATCTACACAAGGTATGTTTTGACGAGCTAGGAAGAGATCGTATCTACACAAGGTATGTTTTGACGAGCTAGGAAGAGATCATATCTACACAAGGTATGTTTTGATGAGCTAGGAAGAGATCATATCTACACAAGGTATGTTTTGATGAGCTAGGAAGAGATCATATCTACACAAGGTATGTTTTGACGAGCTAGGAAGAGATCACAAGGTATGATTTGATGAGCTAGTGATCATATACACAAGGTATGTTTTGTCTAGGAAGAGATCATATCTACACAATGTATGTTTTGATGAACTAGGAAGAGATCATATCTACACAAGGTATGTTTTGATGAGCTAGGAAGAGATCATATCTACACAAGGTATGTTTTGATGAGCTAGGAAGAGACCATATCTACACAAGGTATGTTTTGATGAGCTAGGAAGAGACCATATCTACACAAGGTATGTTTTGATGAGCTAGGAAGAGATCATATCTACACAAAGTATGTTTTGATGAGCTAGGAAGAGATCATATCTACACAAGGTATGTTTTGATGAGCTAGAAAGAGATCATATCTACACAAGGTATGTTTTGATGAGCTAGAAAGAGATCATATCTACACAAGGTATGTTTTGATGAGCTAGGAAGAGATCATATCTACACAATGTATGTTTTGATGAGCTAGGAAGAGATCATATCTACACAAGGTATGTTTTTGATGAGTCTAGGAAGAGATCACATATCTACACAGTATGTTTTGACGAGCTAGGAAGAGATCATATCTACACAAGGTTTTTTGATGAGCTAGAAAGAGATCATATCTACACAAGGTATGTTTTGACGAGCTAGGAAGAGATCATCTCTACACAAGGTATGTTTTGACGAGCTAGGAGATCATATCTACACAGGTATGTTTTTGATGATCATATCTACACAAGGTATGTTTTGATGAGCTAGGAAGAGATCATAGGACACAAGGTATGTTTTGACGAGCTAGGAAGAGATCATATCTACACAATGTATGTTTTGATGAGCTAGGAAGAGATCATATCTACACAGTATGTTTTGATGAGCTAGGATGAGCTGGTGTTTTCTTATAAGGCTGCTACTTTACTGTTGTAAATGAGAGTGGTTAACTTCAATTGATATCACTGCATTAAGCACATAAAACACAGGATCTCTCTTTCATTAGCTGCAGAAGTGTAGAGATGCTGACTGTTTCTACTGTGCGCTGATTATGAATACACTTTACTGAAGCATGCTATCAGAGGATGCATCACACACCTGCCAAGTATCTAGGGGAAATGTTGATAAATATCAGTCCTCCACACATACACACAGGGTTCCCCCGACAATGAACCATGGTCGCCCACTCACTGGCTTGGCACATGCTGATATTGATTATTACTGGAGTAAAGGACCGCCAACCCAACAGGAGCACCACAATATGACAGGCAAAAGTAGCAAGTCAACAACCACTATATATCTCACACAGGTTACATGTCCTTTTGTAACCACCAGCACTATCTTAGAATGGTGTCATACAATAATAAACCACACCAAGAATGATCGTATAGTGGGATCAGTCTACAGTAGCCTGTAGACTTAAGGGACTCGCCATCCACTTAACAGCATTCTGATACCTCCCCCATCCAACTCCACTCTGGTCAACACACAAAGTTATCACAGCACCTTCTGTAGCTTTCAGACACCCCGTCAACCAGCGTTCCACACACATAGTCACAACTTTGCCAGTTTGAACACTCATGGGCCGAACAAACATCCATGCTAGAAAATCACACTGGCAGAATTCATTAGACAGTTCACCCGAGCTCCAACAGAATAAAACATATTGTCACTCAACAAGTCCATAGGACTTTAAAAATGTGCACATACATCTTTACACTTAGACTGTCTGAAAGCGACTGACTCACTCTAGCCTGGGAACATCTCACGTGCTGTCAGCCCATACAGATTTCATAATATCCTTGATGAACTATGGTGACATGTCTGCAAGCAGCACATGTTTCCCCAACTCCAAGTGACTCACCATCCACTCTCTTCAAGTGTGCACCCACGTCTCACCAAGCACTGGCTTTATTAACTCTGTACACACCAAAGTGACTTCCATACCTAACATTTATCTCGTTGCTCGTTGTGATCGCATTTGTTATAAGTAAAACTAATTGACAATAACATATGAAATGTTCTTAACAAAAGCCGTATCAGGGCAAACAACTTGACAAAGTAAAATACAGTATTCCTTACTTCATTTCTAACAATCATTTGGATAATATGGAGTCCGGATAATCACGAGCCAGATAATCAAAATTCTACTGTATTTAAATTATACTCACATCAAATTTAAATCTGATTGTCAATCAGGTTTTGTACACAAGATATAAATATATAATAAAGAACTGAGACTATCTGCATGGATAAAATAAATCTGGATTATACAATTATATTAGTTTCTTATTGATACCTTCAACATGGCCAGAATAAATAAATGAAGTGTCCACTGCAATAAGACGGCCATCAGAGTCTACTGTTTCATGGTCTGGACTGAAGATTTCCACATCCCTTTTTAGTCGTAGAGAGAAATCTCTGTAATTACAAGTTAGAACAAGATAATTTAAAGATTCAGTTTGAATCTGCTAAATCAGGTACACAAAAAGAAGAAAAATTGACAAGAGCTGTTTACTGAAAGCCAGTATCAAGTATCACATATTTTGTATACAAAATTTCCACAAATAACCTCATTTCTTAGATTTCTTAGTGTGGGTTCCAGGCCCCATTTTGAAAAAAAAAAAGGGGGGGGGGGGGGAAAAGAAGCCCAATGTCCCCCAATAATGTGCATGCAAATAGCTGGATGTGCACCTGTCGGTAAAGATATTCTTTTATCATTCATGCTAATCATTCTGTCTCTAAATTCTTTTGGGAAAAAGGTGCGATCCAATGTGGGAGCTAGCTATCATATCACTAACACCATGTTTTTATATATATATATATGTAACTGCTTATTTGATTTAATTTTGCTGATTAATGATGCATTTGAGTGTGATGAAATTATTACAATTTTAGGCAAACTGAACCATTTGAAATCTCCCACAAGCACAGTTCTCACACACAAAAAAAACATATAGAATCACTGGTGATTAAATCAGACTACCTCATGATCACTGGGATCCTTAATGACTTTCATGGCACTGTATCAACTGTTTATGCTTGTTAATCTTGAAATATATTTCTTGAAGAGAAGATGGAAATGTGGATTGGGACACATTGATTCTACTCATTATATTTGCATCCAATAAGTCTCATCAGAGGATTATGATTAAATGTCAGTGTGTACCCAAATAACTGAGAGCTATATTTAAATCTGAACAACTCTTACATTAGTGCTCACAAATTCTAGAAGTTCTAGTATGTATGTGTGTGTATATATTTGTGTGTGTGTGTGTGTGTAAACATAGTTTTAACTGCAGTGACTGAGTGAGTGAATATTTCAGGATACAACTAGTACTGAGTTTTGCCCAAGTGTATGTTATGTTAACTACACCAAATTCTAAAGAATGAGAGTTGTCTGTTCTTCCATATTCTTAACAATGTTGAAGATGTCTGAGTTAAATGTCTGCTATGATAATGCAATACCAAGGGAAAAGGAATGACATCCATTCTGTCATCTTTGCTCCCAATTTATGAGAGTAAGCCACTATGAGCTTATCCCCAGTGTTTCATTTCTTGTCATGTAGACTCATGTAGTTGAGATTGGATTATCTGGTGATGTATGATTGTGTGCTTGAAACATGCAACCCCCTACAAGCAGGGAGGCTGTAAAAATGATAACCTTTTACAAATGTTGATAATTCACTATTCTATGTCTTCTTCTTCTTCTTTTTGTTCGCTTGAAAAAGATGATCTTTATCTAAAATTCTGTCTCTAGTAGTTGGAGCAAAAACTAGACCAGGAGCAGCTTAGTTGGGCGAAAACTAGACCAGGTGCAGCTTAGTTGGAGCAAAAACTAGACCAGGAGCAGCTTAGTTGGAGCAAAAACTAGACCAGGAGCAGCTTAGTTGGAGCAAAAACTAGACCAGGAGCAGACTTCTTTAGTGACCATGTTCCAGTTGCAGGAAAAATTTGAATAAAACTAAAGAACATTAGAAAAACACCACAGAACATCAAGTGAAATAAAAAGATGGTGACCTATTAATGGGACATAGTAATATAATTAACAGATGGACACCAATAATGACTGCAGAAGTTGAGGATCAAAAACATCATATGAAGAAAGGAAAAGGACCCGGGCCAGACAACATCTCACTGGAAGAAATCGAAGCACTGGGAGATTTCGGAATTGAAATAATAACTTAACTAATGATATTTATAATAGTGGGTATATTCCAAATGACCTTTTAAAATCCATATTTATAGCTCTGCCAAAGAAGCCAGGGACTTTAAAATGTGAAGACCATCGCACAATAAGTCTTATGAGTCACATGACTAAGATTTTACAGCCCCTGGCTGTTGTGTGGTTTTTCTAGGCAAATTAACGTCCAGTAGTTTGGTGGGCACAATATAAACAATTTACGTTATGCTGATGACACAGTCTTGATAGCAACAAGTTAGAAAGAATTACAGAAAATGATAGAAATTGTGGTGTTAGAAAGTGGAAGAATGGCCCTCAGTTTGAATAATGGGAAGACAGAAGTAATGGTGGTATCAAAGAAACAAATTATTCCTAAATGTGTAATAAAAGTCAATGGTGTTATTTTAGGGCAAGTACAGAAATTTAAGTATCTGGGCACATGGATAATATCAGATGGAAGATGCATAACTGAAATAAGAAACAGAATTGGACAGGTAAAAACTGCATTTTATAAAATGAAAAACATCTTGTGCAATATATCCTTGTCATTGAGAGTTAGAAAAAGAATTATTGCTTGCTAAATATATCCAGTTTTAACATATGGTTGTGAATCCTGGACAATCGGTAGGCAGGCCAAACAATTTTTGGAGGCCTCAGAGATGTGGTTTTACAGAAAAATGCTTAGAATACCTTGGACAGCCAAAAAGAGCAACCAAGAGGTTTTGAAAGAGGCGGGAGCCCAAAGAAAACTTATCACAGACATCAGAAGGAGACAGTCATCATTTTTCGGCCATGTTATGAGAAGAGGGAAAATAGAACATGTTGTGACCACTGGAAAGATCTGTGGAAGGAGGGAAAGATGAAGATAACGAGAGAAGATGCTTGACAGTCTTGTTGCATGGCATGGAGGTGTGTCGGCACACGAACTGATACATGCTGCAGGAGATCGCAGATTATGGAGAGGCATGATCGCCCATGCCAGTCGGCAAGACACCTGATGATGATGATGAACTTCATTGTCTGTTGTAATTCAGCCAGCAACTCGTACAGTTTGGCTTGTACCTGTGTTTCCATGACCAAAAGTTTTGCCTTGATAAGATGTACCTGGACAGTCTTGGAGGACATGATCTGTTGTCTCAGGTGCCAATCCACATGGCTAATTCGCAGATTTTAAATTTTGTGTACATGTGGCTGCGAAGTCAATTGTGTCCTGTTCTAAGGCGTAGAATAATTACATAATCTGGTCTGTCCACAATATGGTAATCGTCTTTTGCAGGTTTTGGTGGCTTTCTGATTGATTTGATTATTCTCTTCTGGTACATTGTCAGGCTGTTCTTCATTTGCACCTTCCTTAGCAAGTTTATAAGCTCTTTCATTTCCGGGAACTCTACAGTGGGATGGTATCCACTGCACAGCTAGCTACCTTTACACCAGTTGCCCAGTTCTGAGATCAGTTTCCGAATACTTGGTAATTTTCCAGATTTTAGTGTCTGAAGTACCTCTCTTGCTTCTGAGGAATACCACAAGTTGTGAAATATGACATATATTTAGCAGTTTCTCTGCTGCTGTTTTGATGTCTTCAACTTCTGTATCATAGTTGTGACAGTGCTTTCCTGTTGGTAATTTGACTGCATATCTAATATTATTTGTATGCTCAATGTATATTCCTGCTCTTCCATTTCTGATTATGTTTTGTGCTGACCCATTTGTGTAGATACGAACCCACAGATCCTGTAGGTATGTAGGTATTCATCATCAAGTAGACTGAGGGTGGCTGTTTTACACTGCACACTGTTTTGTTCTTCCTTGTTGAATACTCCTCTTACTTCTATCTGAATGTTTATCTGCAACGTATAATCCTCTCTCCCTGGGGTGCGATCTGGAATAGCATTTAAGGGGCAATTAGTTGCGGTCAGATCATTGGTTTCACTGCAGAGTCGTTGGGCCTGGTGGATGAAACTGCTTTTTATTAGTCGCCCCACTGCTAGAATAAGGAATATTTCTTTCATAGGGTCTTCAGGCATGCTAAGAAACTTTTTTTGCTTGTATTAGTATCTTGGTGTCTATGCATTCTGTCTCAATCACAGCTGTAGGTGTTGATTTCATCCTGCCTGTTATGACTTTGATTTTGCACTTTGTCTAACTTTTGTAGGGTGGTTTTTAATGCTGAACTCCATGCAGCTGACCTGTATTTAAGGTGTGGTCACACATTTTGTTGATAATTTTTCCTAAAAATTTTTCCATTAGCGCCCTATGTTGTTCCAATTAGTTGTCTCAGGATAACTATCTTCCTTCTGGCTTTGGTTGCTGCCTTGTTGATGCATTTTCTCCATGTTAACCTACCATCAATTGTGATTCCACAGTGTATGTGGGCTCCTTATCCTCTCTTAGTGGAATGACAACTGATTTTTATTTTGGGGACCGGGTGAAGAGGGTGGTAGTACATTTTCTGATGCTGACATATCATTTATCAGCCCATGCAGCCACTGCAACTATGGATCTTTGTAGCAGTCCAGTGGCCACTGTTGCATATTTATTTGTGCACTATAGTACCAAGTCATCAGCGTACATCGCAGCCTTAAAAACATAGGATAGTTAGGCAATTAGGTCGTTGATATAGACCAGAAACAGTGTTGGGGACAGGAAACCACTTTGAGGGACACCATAGCGAAAGCAAATTTTCTTACTCTTGAGTCCATCTATCTGTACTCAGGCCCTTCTGTTTTACAAGTATGCTTTCACCCATCTGTATATTGCCATTTACTTGGTAGTTTCTTAGTTTCTTCATGAGACCTTCTTTTCAGACCTTGTCAGAGACCTTCTTCAGATTTATCCATGCCACACGCACTAGCTTCTTTTCTTGGAAGGCGTCCTCAATTTCTTGAGAGAGGTAAGCTGACTGATCTGCTGTGGAGTAGCACTGTCTCAGGCCTGCTGCGCTGTGAAGATGTATTCACTTTCCATGTCCATCTTAAGTCTAAGATTGACAATGCGTTCCACTGTTTTGCAGAGACAGCTGGTAAGGCTGACTGGTCTATAACTGGAGGCATTGGAACTGTCCTTTCCTGGTTTTGGGTGAGCTATCATAGTTGCTTCTCTCCATATTTGGCTAACCTTGCCACTGACCCAACAATTATTAAAAATCTGGAGCAGCTTTGTTTTGGCTGTTTGTCCCTAGATTATTGATCATTTCCTTGGTTATTCCATCGATTCCAGGCGACTTTCCTATTTTCAGATT